CACACACACAAACATACATGTTTAAATTTGTGATCCTCCTGCCTCAGTCTCCTGAGGTATCCACCACTGTGCCTGGCTTCAATATATATATTTTTGAAWAAAGGAGTTTTAAGAAACAAATCATTTACATTTTCAGATAGCTGGTCAATGTTCACATTTCCCTGTTTGTCTCAAAATTCTTGTKAACAGTTTGTTGGAATCAAGGATCCAAATAATATCTATATAGCRTGAYTGAGATGTCTCAAGTGTTTTTTGATGTATAGTTCTCCATTCTTATTTTCTCCCCTTAAAAATATTGAAGAAATTGGGTTATTTGTCTTACACACAGTCTGGATTTTGCCAACTACGTCTCTATATTGCATGTGTTCTTCCACTTGTTTTCTATATTCAGAAGTTATATTTAAGGGCTTGATTAGATTTCAGTTTTATTTTCTGGCAGGAATACCTAATATGGAGTGGTAGGTATTAAAATCAAAAAGCATATATCTGGTTTTATTTCATTTTATAATTACAAGCCATGTGATGAATATTGCCTAGATTTATCATTCATTGTGTTACTCTAAATTCTGTACTATGTTCTTCATTATTAACTGAAATATTCCTTGAAAGTGATTTTCCCCCACAACAATTACAGTTGACCCTTGAACAATRTGTGTTTATAAATTGTATGGGGCTACTATCATGTAGGTTTTTTGTTTTTGTTTTGTTTTTTAGATTTATGACAATTGGAGAAAACTTAATGGACTGTGTTAGCCTAGAAGTACCAAAAAAAAAAAAAAAGAAAGAAAAGAAACTTAAGAAATGCTAAGTGTGTGGTGAATGTATTAAATATATGAGAAAACAGTCTTTTATCATTTAYTACCATAAGTATATACAATTCTATCATAAGAACTTAAAATATCAAAATTTATGGACATGAACATACTACATGGCATCATGAACAGTTGAGAGAAATATAAACCAATGTAAAGATGCAGAATTTAATTCTAAGTGTATAAAATTAATTGTAGTGATTCTCTACTGTAATAACTTTGTAGCCAACTCCTATTGCTATTGTGGTGAGCTCAAGTATTGCCATTATCCATTTAAAACACTGTAACTATAATCATTGCCATGTCTCCAGTCTTGTCTCTAGTAAATTGCTTATCAAGTAATCTCTCAGTGTGGTTCTTATGTATTTTTCACTGTATGTAATATATTACAACGTAGAAAATACATGTTAATAGACAGTTTATGTTATTGGTAAGACTTCTGGCTATCAGTAGTTAATTTTTAGGAGTCAAAAGTTACAGATTTTTGGCCAGATGTCGTGGGTGGTACATGCCATAATCTAAGTAGCTCACAAGGTTGAAGCAGGAGGATCATAAGTTTTCAGGCCAGCTTCAGCAACTTTGCAGGATCCTAAGCAACTTAATGAGACCCTTTCTTAAAATGGAAAATAAAAAGGGCTGAGAATGTGGTACAGTGGTAGAAAGCTCCCGAGTGTCATCCCCAGTATACTCCCCACTGCCCCCCAAAAAGTTAGCGGTTTTTAATTTTTTTTTTTTTTTGGTGTGTGTGTGTGGGGGGTGTGTTTTTAAGCAAGCCACCCCCTTCCCCCTGTATTTGTTGCATTGGGAGGAGCTGGCCATCTGCTCAGGAAGATTGGTCCCTCAGCTTTTAATTTTATTTATTTATTTATTTTTGTGTGGTGCTGAGAATCAAACCCAGTGCCTCACACATTCTAGGTCAGCGCTGTAGCACTGAGCTGCTTGTGGTTGGGGATGACATCCAAACCCCTAAGTTGTTCAACTGTTCACTATATTTGGTTATCCTGATTTATCTATTTGCAGTTGGTGAAATAATGAATTGGAAATCTAGCATTATCCAAAGGTGACTGATGAATCTTTAAAAATTATGATAAATATATGGGATTTATATGCATTGAAGCATTTAAATTTTCTGTTTTTATTTTTGTGGAGTCCATCTTATATTGTCCTAAATTCTACACATTATTCTTGAGTCCTTTTGACATGATTCTGTGAGAAGCCTTTTGGTAGTATTTTTACTTTGTGCTGTGACAGCATATTCATATTACACATTTTCTGTCACAAACTTTCTCTAGCTTCTCTTAAGAATCCTTAGTTTCTTTTAGAGGGAAGTAGTATTTAGAAATCCATCTGAGTACTAGAAATGAATGTTCTTGCTACTGAATTTGTCCTTATTTTAAACCTTGGTGATGGACAGACCTAGAAAATAATTTTCCATTCTTATTTTTTGAGTTATTTTATATCAACCTAATATTTTGGTGCAGGGATTAAAACCAGGGCCTAATGCTAAACACGCTATGACAACTGAGCCACACCTTCCCAACCCTTAATATATCTTTTTTAAAGGGGAAAAAAAAAGAGTCCAGATACTTCCAGTTTACATTGAGGTCTGTAGGGTTTTACTTCTTCCATCTTACATAGATATCCCTTTTGACAAGTCTGAAAATTGTAGTGCCAAATGATACCAACATAATTCCTCATTTTTTTTTTATCACCTAGCATACATAGAATAATCTCAGAACTAACAATTATTATAGTAGTCCCTTCTCCCCTGCTTATCTGTGGGGGATATGTTCCAATACCCCCAGTGGATGCCTGAAACCACAGATAATACTGAACCCAATATATACTGTTTTTTCCACATGAGTGTGTGATGAGAACTTTATCRTATATATGTATATAAGATAATTTATAAATTAGGCATAGTAACCAACAATAATTCTTAATAAAATAGGACAATTACCAATATACTGTAATGAAAGCTATGTGAATATAGGTTTCTTTGTCTCAGAATTATCTTAATGTTGTATTCACCCTTCTTGTGATGACATGAGATGATATAATGTTATGTGATAGTATGAAATAAGGTGAATGATGTAGTCTTTGGGGTAGACCATATAAGAGTTAACTTGAACACAGTGCTGTGAAACTACAGTCAGTTGATAACTAGACCAGCATCTAAGGGACTAATGAGTGCTTAGCATGGATAGGCTAGACAAAGGGATGATTCATGTTCCAAAGCAGGATGGAGTAGGACAGTGTGCGGTTTCATCATGCTACTCAGAATGGTGCACAGTTTAAAAGGTATTTTAAATATCTTTAAGTACCTGGAATTTTCCACTTAATATTTTTGGATCACAGCTAATTTAAACTATGGAAAGCAAACCTGAGGATAAGGAGACTACTATACTGCTGTATAGGATTTTTCGTCCTTTTCCTTAAGATAATTTCCCATGTGGGATGAGTAGTTAAATTCCTGTTTTTAATTCACTTGAAGTAATTCTACTTCATTTGAATGGGTTTGCAGCCTGGTACACAGTTCATGTGTTTCATTGCCTTTGATTTTTAAAGATTTTTATAAATGTGATATTCTATAACTGTGATGGTTACATGTTCAAAGGTAAAATCTGTAAAACAAAGAATATTGAGAGAAATTTAGTTTTTATCAGGGTCCCTTGTATCCTCCTTCCCATCCTCTTCCAAAAGTTTCTGTCTGTCTATCTATTTATTTGTTTACTCCCTAATACCAGGGAGTGAACCCAGGGGTGCTTAACATTGTAGTGCCAAACGATACCAACATAATTCCTCATTTGTTTTTATCACCTAGCATACATAGAATGATCTCAGATCTAACAATTCTGACCCACAACTGTCCTAACAACTGACCGGCATCTGAGCCTTTTTTTCCCCCCTTTTTGAGACAGGGTCTTACTAAATTGCTTAGGGTCTCATTAAGTTGCTGAGGGTGGCTTTGAACTTGCAGTCCTCCTGCCTCAGCCTCCCATGCCACTGGGATTACAGGCTTGTGCCATTACTTGGCTCGTAAGTCTCTATGTAAAAATGTTTTAATTTATATTTATCCATCCATTCATCAGTCTCTCCTCGCATCTTAGATAAGCATTAGCATGTTGTATATACTTCACCTTGTTATTTTTGTCTTACAATATCCCCTGAATATTATACCATTCTTTATTGCATGTGTTCTGAATGGGAGATAACACGCCATGAGGATAAAACTTGATTCAACTGTTTGTGCTCCTCTGAAGAGCCACGGTACACAAACAGAAACACAATATATGTGGATATTAAAATTGCATAAGGGTGTATAATGAAAATTAGGAAACTGCTCTGTAGACAATATAGCATTTCTCAGTTCTTTCAAAAGTGTGTACTTTTTACTTAAGAATATATAACTAGTTTCCTATTTGTCAATAATTGGGTTATTTCCATTTCTTTACAATTACCAATGGTACTAAATTGTGGGGTTTTTTTTTCTATTTTTGCTGGTGCATCTTAGAGATAAGATTCCAAAAAGTCCAATTCCTAGGTCAAATGGTAATTGCCTTTTAAATTTGGTAGATATTGCCAAATTCTTCTTAAGATAATGTTTTAATTTATACTAGAGCATGCGTTCTAAATTGATTTATTGTGAGATATTGGTGCCATTTATAAGAAGCTTATCAATTTTCTAAATAGCTATAAGAAATATAATTTTCTATTTCGCATGAAAACTTACCCATTATTTCACTTATATTGTTTCAAAATTATCACTCACCCTACTTGCCAGAAGTTGTTTATAAAAGAATAATATCTCTGCCCCAAAAATCAAATGGCTGTAACTAATTTTTTAAAAAATTGTACTACATCCTGTCTTTTTCAGTAAAGATCATTGCTAAAATAAAGAACTTCTTTTTCAAGTAAATGTTGCACATATATTTTTAAACAATTTTAAAAATTTATAAAGTATTAAGTAACTTTAGTATTTAAATGAAATATTTAAATGTTTTCACATTACCTCAAAAGAGCATTTCATTATTTATTTATTATGGTAAGGATTGAACCAGGGCCCTTGTATATGCTAGGCGGGTACTCTATCACTATATTTATATCCCCCGCCTAGGATAGAGCTTTAAAAATAATTACAAAATATTTTTAACTGATAAATTAAAACAAAGAATTACACTAAAAGAAATTTTTTTCCCCTAGAGGGATAAATAGATTTTCCACTGGCTTATTTCACTTAAGTTTTTCAATACTTTAAGTCAAAATAAGTTGTGTAGGTTTTTTTCAGCTCATTGTTTTTATGAAGCTATTAGATTGTGTGGCAAAAATCCCGTGGTATGTGAAAATACTTCTTATATTTTCAGTCATTTAATTTAATGACTTTCAGTTTAATGATCTGAGGACTGGTGTGTAATAACTCAAACTGATCATGACAGATTGAAACAGTCTACCTATTTGCTTCAGATGATTTTTATCCACCTAAAACAGGGTCTGGCACATGGTAGGCACTCAAATTTGTTGAATAAATAAATGACTATGGCACTACCACCATTGATGTTTAGCAAATGGTTAGTGAAGAAAGGAGTAAGAATATCTGAACATTTTATCTGTGAAAAGCAGTCATAAGATTTACCAAGTAACCAAGTTTTCTAGAACACATTAAACTGTTCAGAGGTTAAAGATAAAAAAATAAAATTCTAAGAATAAGTGAAATTATTGTAGTTATTTTGGCTTATTAAAGGTCTCCATTTTATTAAAGCATTGTATTATTGCACAGGTACTATCAGTTAAAATAGTTTTGCATACTAGTTCTCTTGAAATTAGGGTGAACTTATGAGTTTTAAAGTATATTTTTTATATTGCATTTTTCTCTTCCCTTTGTAGGCATTTGGGATCACAGCTTTGTGAATTAGAAAAACTGATAGATAAAATGATGATTGCAGAATTTTCTACTTACTCTCATAGTGATTTAAATAGACCACTGGAAGATGACTGTCAAGTTTTAGAAGAGGTATGTGTTTTGAACTATAGAATGAAATCACTGTCATTGTTAAGTGTTATTTACTAACAGCCTTAGTTTAGAATACTTTMTTATTTCAGATTTCAATGAACAAGATTACCTTGAATATTAGGGACTATCGGACCTATGAAGTCCATTATTAGTACCGTTAAGTATTCAGTATCTTGTGATATTAGAGAATGAAATTATTTTATAGCTTATACAGAAATAAGAGTTAACATGAAATCTTTGTAGCTTATAAATCAAGTTTAAAATATAGGTATAAGATGAATGAATAAATTTATAGTCCATGTGTGCATTCATTTGCTGACATTCATCTTTTGTAAAAAGTAATCATTGTATATGGTAATTCTATTGGTCACTCAAGTTCATTGAATGCCTATTGTGAACATGTTTCTTGTATATACATATATAAATGTATCATATCCTGGCTTCACTTATCTGATACCTTCTCAATGCTAATCGTTGCCAGTAACTGGTTAAAAACAATATCCAAAAGGTCTTGACTAATAACAGCCCAAGTAATTAAAGACGTGTATGTTTTAGAGGTTGACTTTTCAATTAAGAGTCCACCTCTTCACTCTACTGTTCTAGAACATGAATTTAAAAACACAGGGCTTAGGCTGAGTGGGGTTGTAGCTCAGTGGTGGAGTGCTTCCCTTGCATGTGTGAGGCACTGGGTTCACTTCTCAGCACCACATATAAATAAATAAAATAAAAGTTCATTGACAACTAAGAAAATATTTTAAAACAACAACAACAACACAGGCCTCAGAAAGTACTATTGGTTATCCAGGTTTAAGAAGAATATTTTTCTTTATGGAAAGTGGGTCAAAAATACCCTTGTATTGTTTTGCTCCAAAACAGCTTCATTTAATCCCATGTGGTGGAGTGGGGTTTGTCTGTTTTATAACATTGGCTACAAAAATCTGATTATAAGATTGCTGTAGGAGGGATTTTTCAGTCTTCAAGAAGTACTACATTTCAGGATAGAGATCTGAGAATAAACAAAATTCTTGATGCTGAATATTTCTATGTCTAAATATTTCAAATTTAAAATGTGAAATTACATATTTTTCTTTTAATAGGAAAGACTAGTATCTCTTGTATTTGGACTTTTAAAACAAAGAAAACTTAATTTTTTAGAAATCTATGGTGAAGAAATGATTATTACAGCAAAGAATATCATTAAACAGGTAATAGTATATATTTCTTTGATATGTGGTCTGGAATTTTTGTGAAGTTTATGTTATCTAGTAATATATGCGGTATGCATTATAATGGTGATACTTGCTCTTTTATTTAAAAATTGAAAATATGGAAAAATATAAGAAAAAAACGGGCTTAGCAGCCAAGATTATCATTTTAAGAATGAATCTATGTGTAGATTGTTAACTGATTTTCTAAAATTGTTTGTCATAATGTGCACATGATTTTGGATATATATTTCAGTTAGAATCAACTTAAGTATTTTCTTGTACTATTATGTAAGAATTCAGAAGCATTAGTTTTAATAATTACATAAAATTTCATTACATTTATGTTGAATAATCCTTTTTAGCCTATCTTACATGTGGGATATTTAAGTTACTTTCAGTTTGGTATTGTAAATGGCACTGAAAACATCTTTGGTATAAAGTTAATTTGGTTTTCATATTTAAGACTATTTGCTTGGACTGATTCTCAAAAGTAGAGTTAATGGTCACAGTGAAAAGTATATTTAAGTAGTTTGATACATAGAACTGAATTGCTAAGTAAGAAAGATTTTACAAATTCATATTCATACCATCAGCAGACAAATATTTGTTTTCTTTTTACTCTGATCTCTAAGAAATTATAAACTAAAATACATATTTTTTAGTTTTCCTGATCTTTATTTATTTTTTGTTTTACTCAGATAAAGGATGATATAATTTAAATTGTGTTTATTAGGTTTAATCAGTCATTGTCATTGATTAGATTGAATGCATTTATATGAATATGAGGATTTTTTGGTTTGGGGTTTTTTTTGGTTTTGCTTTTTTTTTTTCCTCCAGTGTGGTACTTGGGATTAAACCCAAGGGTGCTCTACCACTAAGCTAAATCTCCAACCCTTTTTATTTTTTGAGACAGGGTTCTGCTAAATTGCCCAGGCTAGTCTTGATCTTTGGATCTGGGATTACAGGCATGTACCACCATGCCCAGCCATATGAGAGTTTTTAACGTGTATATAAAATAAACAAACAAAATGTAGTGACTCTCTTTTTTTACTCAAACGCTGAATTTTTAAATTGGTTTAAGCACTTTGGAAAATTGTTCAGTAGCTACTTAAGTATACATATATTACAACCTATATTTCTATTCCTAGGTTTTCACCCAAAAGAAATACTTAAATTTTAAGTTCACCAAAACACAGTGGAGAATATTCATGGCAGTGCTATCTGTAATAAAAACTGTAAACAACCCAAATTCCATCATCAGTAAAAGGGATGAATAGAATTATGGTATATTTATACAGTGGAATATTATGCAGCAATGACAATAAATAACTCAGAATTATGTAAATAAATATTACGTAATGCGAAGCCAAAAAACCAATAGTTACTGGGCAGAGAGCAGGAACAGGGCAGCTCTGGGTACTGGCAGTTGAACAAATGTACTCCATAACTGCACTGGAAGCATAATTTGTATGAATTTTCATATACTTATAAAAAATTAACTGCTATTTTAATTCCATATATTTCTCCTGAGGCTTAAGCATTTATTTATTTATTTATTTATTTATTTATTTATTTATTTATTTTTAGAGAGAGAAAGAATTTTTTTAATATTTATTTTTCAGTTTTCGGTGGACGCAACATCTTTATTTTATTTGTATGTGGTGCTGAGGATCGAACCCAGCGCCCYGCGCATGCCAGGCGAGCGCGTTACTGCTTGAGCCAACATCCCCACCCCAGCTTAAGCATTTATTGTTACCCTTTTTAAACTTTTTGTTATTGTTGTTGCATGTATTGCAAGAAAATGCAAACTTCCAATATGCATTTTTTGGTGATTTTTAAAAATATATTTATTTTTTAGTTATAGGTGGACACAATATCTCTATTTTATTTTTATGTGGTGCTGAGGATTGAACCCAGTGCCTCACGCATGCTAGGCAAACGCTCAACCTCTGAGCCACAACCCCAGCCCCTCTTTGGTGATTTTAATATTAAACGTATACATTGTTTATAAGCTTTACAGTTCTGTTTTGCTGGTGTATGATTTGGAACAGTTTTAAATAGTAGGGCATTTTAATTGTTATAGTTCAAGCATACTCTGAAATAATTATTTAATGGGCTAAGGGTCATGGCTGCTGTTTTTCTAATACCTTGAGTTGTGTATAAGAGGTACAAGAAATGTCTGTTGAAATGATTATTGTAGTCAGCGAGTCATTTTTGATGTACAGATGGAACGTGGAGTACTTGGGATTCTAAAGACAATTAATTAAATTGTGTTTGTTTTTTCTTAAATCTTGCAGTGTGTGATTAATAAGGTTTCACAAATAGAAGAAATAGACACAGATGTTGTTATGAAGTAAGTATTATATATAGGTTGGTGGTTATCAGTCAGGGAAAAGGTGACACATACTAATTAGAGTAATTTAAAGAGAATTTAGTGAAGGAATTATTAACCAAGGTATGGGGCAGGATATAAGAAAATCACAAGTTGACAGTGTAGTACTTTTAAAAGACAAAGAAAGAGCACTTACCGGAATTCAGGAGAAAGTAAGGGTTGAGGAAAAGAGTTGAGAAAAAGCTCTGTTGTGAATAAAGGAAACAGTCATTCTGAGGTCATGCTTCATGGAGGAAACTGGAAGAGACTAAGTACAGTATAGTCTTCCCTTATCTGCAGGCAGATGCATTCCAAGATCCCTAGTGGATGCCTGAAACTACAGATAGTACTGAAGCCTCTGTATTTCTTGTTTTTTCCCATGTGCCCCATTTAATCTGTCCTTCCGTGTTTATACCCTGCTGCCTCCTTTGTGTGATTACTGTGGTGCTTTGGAGCCATTACTAAGTGAAATAAAGGTTACTTACTTAAACATAAACCCTGTGAACCAACATAGTCGATCTGATAAATGAGAGGCTACTAAGTGACTAATGGAAAGGTATCATACATAGGATGGATAGACTGGACAAAGAGATGATTCATGTCCTGGGTGGGAAGGATTGGGTTTGTGCAAGGTATTATATTACTTGGGATGGCACACAGTTTAAAACTTATAATTTGTTTACTTCTGAAAATTTCCATTTACTATTTTTGGACTTCAGGTAACCAAAACTGCAGAACATATAACTGCAAATAAGGACGACTGTGTCTTTCTTCTTCTAGCCTTTCTAAGGGCTCCTCATTGGCCAAGCCCAACAGGTTGGCCTCATGGGGCAGAGAGGAGAGTGGGAGATGGATAGAAGGTAGATACAAAGTTGGGAAATTGAAGATAATCATTTCAGCTAGATAGCAAGTATTAAGTTTAAGTTATTCAGCTGTGTAATTGAAACCAAACTAATCATTGGCTTGGAAGAGTTTGAGAATTTGATTTTGAATTGCCTGTCTGTAATTTTTGGTTTTTACCCTTGGAAGTTCCTGTTCTTTTATTTTGAAACTAGTGATAAGTATTTTATGACTGAACTGCTCATACATCTGCATATCTAAACTTTATTCATTCTTGCCTAAAACATGAATGATAATGTAAAGACAACTGTGAAGTTTTTCTGGCTCAAACCCACAGAATGAAGATTGTGAAATCAATTTCAGAATTAGCTGAAGCAAATATAATAAACGAATAATAGCTAGAAAATGTAAGTCATTGACACTTGAGAGTTGGTGACTTCATTTTCTTCTCCTGTAGGGAATTTTTTTAACTTTAAGTAGGGAACTTTAGTGTATCTAGTATAGGCATTTTTTTGAGAATAAACTTTTGGCTTCAGCAGCATTTATTAAAAATTTAGAGTAATAAATCATTTAGTACTATGAAAATATCTTTGTGGAATTCTGTTTTGCATTAATCTATTTCATTTTTGAAATTATTGATTGTTGTCATCTATCAAATAATAAATATAGGCTCCTACTTACATAGCATATTTTAAAAGTACCATGCATTGCTTTAACTTATTTATAAAACTATATAAGGGAGATTTTATTACTTTTCCCATGTTAAGATGAAAAAATGGGAGTATGAGGACTGATCACTTGATAGGCTCACATAGTTAATAATTAATTCCATTAAGCTGCTGAAAGTTTGAATCAAGGAAGCATGGCTCCAGAGCCCATGTTCTTAACCATCATGTTATATTACTTCTCAGATGTAGAAAAGTACTTTGTAGTTAGAAAAACAGGTCATTAAATTTGTTGAGGGAGATATTACATTTCTATTTTTATTCCAGAAGATATCCTTACTTTTTGCCAAAATTGCTTTATTTCTGTATGGTTTATTCCTTCACAAAACATGTTCACATGAATTGATATATGATAAAGTTTATATATTAGCATACTTACTTACATTAATCTTAAAGATTTTTAAACAAGTAGAAGTTGTTCTGGTAATTGATGCCTTCAACTCAAAATTCTACATTAGAGATCTAGATAAAATTGCATTTTGTTCTTGTTACTAGACAGTATTTAGATAGATTCTTCCCATTTGTAGATGTTATCCTGTTAGTCCAGAGACAATCATTATTTTTCTTATTTTATTGTAGGCTTGCAGATCAGATGAGAATGTTGAATTTTCCCCAGTGGTTTGACCTGTTAAAGGATATTTTTTCTAAGTTTAAAATTTTCCTACAGAGAGTTAAGGTAAGCTTACATATTAGTTTGTCCAGAATATCCCTACAATTTTTATCGTTCTTTGTGTATGTATGTATGTGTGTATGTATGTAATTGAGATAGAATAAAATATAGTTTTTGTGATTTTTCTAAAGAGGCTTGGTTTTAAATAAGAATTGAAGTGCCTCAGTATTTTGGTAATTCTTATACTTTTGAATTGTTCTATGTTAAAAAGAAATATTATAGTGCTTACTTGGTATTAAATATTAAATAATAATTTTTTCCTCCTGTGATTTTTTTTTTTTTTTTTTTTAATTTTTGGTACTGGGAATCAAACCCAAGGGTTCTTTCCCACTGAGCTGCATTCTCAGCTCCTTTTATTTTTTTATGTTGAGACAGAGTCTCACAAAATTTGTCCAAGCTGGCCTGGAATTTGTAGTTCTCCTCCCTCAGCCTCCCAGGTAGCTGGGATTACAGACCTTCCACACCCGTCTCCTTTTGTACTCGTATGATGCTCAAATCCTTCTAGATTATATAGAGGTTCAATATTGTGAAACACTAAAAACTCATCCCAAACCACTAATTTTCCTAGAAGTTTGATGTTGATATAATATTGTTTTTTTAACATTGTTCATATTCAGATTATCTCACTAATGTCCATTATTATAGGTTTTTGTTTCATTTTTCTGTTCTAAGTTTCAATCAAACATCATATATTACATTTGTCTCTTTAGCTAAACCATTTAATTTTAAGCCATTTAATATAAGAACAAGAACACATGCCATAAAACTTTTTTTTTTTTTTTTAAGAAAAAATGCCACAGACTATAATACATATTGGTTAGAATCACTGTGCTAGTCAGCATTCTGGCACTGTGACAAAATACCTGAGGAAAAAACAAAAGAGTAAAGATATGTTTTGGCTCATGGTTTCAGTCCTTAGTTTCTTGGCCCCATTGCTGTGGGCTGATAATGAGGTACAACATTGTGGCAGGGAGGATAAGATGGAGTATAGCTGTTCACTGTTAACTCATGACTACCAAAAGCAGAAAGTGTCTGGTGGAGAAAGAGAGTAAGAACAAGATATAGTCTCTAAGGGAATGCCCCCAAGAACTTACTCTCTTCCACCATATAGTTTCCACCACCTTCCAATAGTTCACTGAGTCATGAATTCATCAGTGGGTTAATCCATTGATAAAATTAGAGCCCTCATGATCACTTCTCAAAAACCCCACCTCTGAAAATTGCTACAATAGGGACCTTATTAGTTAGCTTTTCTGTCATTGTGACCAAAATACCTGACAAGAAAAACTTAAAAGAAGTAAAAGTTTATTTTGGTTCACAGTTTCAGAGGTAAAGACTATTATATTGCCCAGGGCCCAAGGTGAAGCAGCACATCCTAAGAGGAGACATTGGCAAAGGGAAGCTACTTCCATCATGGCAGCAGGAAAGCAGAAAGGGAGGTAGGGGGAAGGGGCCATAGGAAAGATGTACTCTTCCAGGGCACACCCCCAAGAGACCTACCTCCTCCAACTATGCCCCACCCTATTACAGTCACCTCCTAATCAGTCCATTCAAATTAGGATTGAATGATCAGGTTACAGTTCTCATAATCTAATCATTTTGTCTCTGAATGTTCTGGCATTAACAGGAGCTTTTGGGGGAACACCTTATATGCAGTTGTAACAAGGACCAAGCCTTGAACACATGGGCCTTTTTGGGATATTCTAGATCCAGACTTTAGTAATCACTAACATATGCTAGCTGTGTTTTAATAAGAATATAGTCATTAAAAATTATTGAATGCAGTTTTTAAAGGGGCCATTTGTTAAGTTTGATATTGAGTTATTAAGTGTCATTGTTGTGTTGTATTGCTAGTTAACACCCCTAGCTTCTCATGAGTACCATATGAAATCATCTTGGGGACTTTGGTACTTCTCTACCACATGGATTTTCTTTACTGACATTGGAGCAATGCTGAGTTACATGTAGAAGCTTTTCAATCAGGGTCAGTCAAGTTTTATAGAATATGCTTAATTTAAATGCTTGAGAATGGTGGGATGGAATTGTAGATCTCACCACCCATTGATGATGAAAGATAGCAAGTCTGACTCTATTAATTGTTTAAGAACTAGACCATGTTTCTACTTTTTCTTAGGTTCTATGACCTTGTTACACACATCTGTATTACAGATATAGAGAACTCCTAAATTACGTAGTGTAGAATTGGCAAACTTTTTTTTCCTGTAATTTTTAAAGTAATGATTCCACTTTTAGACTCTATGCTAAAATTAAGTAGAATTATTATTTGATGTCTATACAGCATAGGAACTGTGATTTATCATAGTTATATGATTTCTTGTTTTCACATTTTAGCCACTTAAATTTGTAATTATGTAGAACATCTTTGAATATGACATGTAACCTTCAAATATGGCACTTTTTGCCTTGAAAAAAGTTTGTGATTCTATTATTATAAGGAATTATTCACAAAAAATAATGTTAATTACATAATTATGAGCTTTCCTTATTTCTTATTTCTTATTTCCTTATTTCTTTTCCTTTGTGGCACTGGGAATTGAACCCAGGGGCAACTCTACCACTGTCTCCAGCCCTTTTTAAATTTTATTTTTGAGACAGGGTCTCACTAAGTTACCCAGTCTGGCCTAAAATGGGTACATTATAATATTAAATGAAAAGGCAAGATATGAGACCTACTTATATAGTGTGATTTCAGCTATGTCAAAAAATATTTTTTATCTGTTCATAAAACAGAGCTTATATTTTTGGTGGTTATATTAGGTGGTTGGATCACATGTCATTTAAAACTTTTATTCTTCTGTTTTCCATGAATTTTCTTTTAAGAGAAGCATTATTTACAATCATAAAAAGTTGTTTTGCTTTTTAATAGTGTTTATTATGTTAACAGGAATAACATAGTATTTAATTTTCTTGTTTAATTTATCAGGGTAAATAATTGCAAGCTGGGGCTATAGCTCAGTGGTAGAACACCTGCCTCACATGTGTGAGGCACTGGGGGTCCCATCCTTAGCACCACATCAAAATAAATAAAGATTTGGTGTTCATCTACACTAAAAAAAAAATATATATATATATATATATATATATATATATATAAGAAATTTGCTATCCTATGTTCTTGTGTTTATTTCTCAAAAACAAAATACATTTTTATGTTACTTTAATATTAAAGTAAATGATATTTTTTCAAAGATGTTAAAGCAACAGAATATTTTAGTAATTTTTTGAATGGATAAACAATGAAAAGATTGGGGTTTGAAAATTTTCCTTTGACCAATTATTAATGGCTCAAGGATCTATATTGCTGTTAATTGTTTTTATTTTTAATTTTTTATTGTAAGATGAACATAACATGGAATTTATTGTTAAGTGTACAATTCTGAGGCATTGTGTTTTTTCACCTTGTGCAGCCCTAACCACCATCCAGTCTCAGAACTTTTTTTTTTTAAATCATGCCTCACTTTTTTTTTTAATATACATGGACACAACTTCTTTATTTTGTTTATTTTATGTGGTGCTGAGGATAGAATCCAGTGCCCCACATATGCCAGGCAAGTGCTCTGCCTCTGAACCCCAACCCCAACCCACAGAACTTCTTTTATCTTGCAAAAAAAAGTATTAAACAATGCCTTATTTTTCTTCTTACTCCTGGAAACCACCACTCTACTTTCTGTCTCTCTGAGTTTGATTTAAGTGGAATCATACAATATTTATCCTTTTGTGACTGGCTTATTTCATTTAGCCTAATGTCCTCAAAGTGTCATTCATATTGTAGCATGATTATAATTGCCTTCTTTTTCTAGGCTGAATGACATTTCATTATATGTTTATGTTATATTTGGTTTATTCATTCATCTGCCACTTGATTTACTTCTGTCTTTGGCTATTGTGAATAATGCTGTCATTGAACGTAGACATAAATATCTCTTTGAGTGCCTGCTTGGAAATATACCCAGAAATGGAAATACTAGATCATACTGTAATTCTAATTTTTTGAGGGACTCTTACCGTTTTCCATAGCAACTATACCATTTTACATTTCTGCTAATAGTGCACAGTGTTTCTAGATTCTTACTAACACTTGTTATTTTCTGGTTTGAGCCATCTTAAATGAGTTTGTCCTGGTATTTCACTGTGGTTTTAATTTGCATTTCTCTAATGATTAGTGATGTTGAGTATTGTTTCATTTGCTTATTGTATGGCTTCTTTGGAGAAATGCTTTGCCTGTTATTTAATTGGGTTGTTTTCTTGTTAAGCTGTAAAAGTTCTTTATATATCCTGGATTTTAACCCCTTGTTAGATACATGATTTACAAATATTTTGTCCAATTCCATGAGTTAGGTTTTCACTCTTTTCGTACTAGGGATTGAACCCAGAGGTGCTTAACCATCTAGCCTTTTTTGTTGTTGTTAGAGACAGAGTCTCGATGAGTTACTTATGGTCCTTGTAAGTTGCTGAGACTTGCTTTGAACTCACAATCCTTCTTCTTCAGCCTCCTGAGCCTCTGGGATTAAAGGTGTGCACCACCATGCCAACTCTAAATGGCATCTTTTGATGCATAAAAAGTTTTTATTTTGGTATAGAACCTTTTACTTGTATTTTCTTTTGTTGCCTGTGCAATTGGCATTATATCCAAGAAATCAATGCCAGTCCAGTGTCTTAAAGCTACCCTGTATTTTATTCTAAGAATTTTATAACGTTAGGTATTATGTTTTTTATCTATTTTGAATTAAGTTTTCTTTTTTTTTTTTTTTTCTCCAGTACCAGAGGTTGAACCCAGGAGTGCTTTATTACTGAACTATGTATCCCTAGTCATTTTTATTCTTTTATTTTTGAGACAAGATCTTGTTAAGTAGCTGAGGCTGGCTTCAAACTTTGTGATTCTCCTGCCTCAGTCTCTGGGATTATAGGTATGCTCCACTGTATCCAGTTTGAACTAATATCTCTATGGGTGGTTATCCTAGAGCATTTTGTATTGTTTTTAACAAAATATCTGAACCTGAGTACTTTATAAAGAAAAGAGGTTTACTTAACTGAAGGTTCAAGAGCATGGTGTATATACTTGAATCTCATGGTGGATGGCATCACAAAGATGGGGCATATATTAAAGGTTTTTTAACTTGTAGTGGTTCTAGGATCAAACCCAGGGCCTATGTATGCTAGGCAAGTGCTCCCCACTGAGCCACATCTGTGGCCCTAATGGTTGAATATGTGAGGAAGAAATCATAAGGTGAGATAGAGGAAGCAAGGAGCCAGGCTCATCTTTTTATAACTATCTGCTTTTGAGGGAAGTAATACATCCCWACCAGACTCAATCCACAGATGCAAATCATTGTTAGGGTGATGATTCTTTCATGAGGGTGGAGTCCTTGTGATCTAAATTTCTTCCACTAGGATCTACTTTTTTTTTTTTTTTAAACACATTTTATTCAGATAGCTGCTGATCACACATGGTCCAAGAACACTCAAATAATGTATTGGATATAATGAAATACTAAAGATTTGTCTTCAAACATAGCCAACTCTGCCATGGTTGCCTATGATCTCTCTGATATAAAACCACATTCATACTATTCAGCACAGCTTTCTTAACTGTGAGCTATTTGAAGCTACCAGTTTGAATACTTATTCACCAATTTTTTAGGCTCTGATAGCTGTAGGGATCTCAACAGTAATTGGAGGAACCAGCTCAAGCTTGACATAATGCCACAATGTGGCCTGTTGAGGCTTTGAGTAAGTCTCAGCAGTTTTTACCAGCACTGGGTCCTTCTCCACAAGGCTACAGACAAATAGGGCCAATATTCTAGGATGGAAAAAAAAAAAGACAAGGGTCTTATAATCTTGCATGTGAATTCCCAGTTTTCCCAGCAGCATTTATTGAAAAGGCTCTCTCCTCCTCATTGTATGATCTTGGCACCCTTGTCAAAAATCATTTTACCATTTATATGAGGGCCATCTCCACTGGTTTATATGTCTGACATTATGCTAGTCTACACTGTTTTGATTACTGTAGCTTTGTAGTAAGTTTTGAAATCAGAAAGTATGACCCCTCCATGCTTTGTTCATCTTTACTATTCATTGTATTTTGAATTTTGATTAAAATCCTTGTTTGTTGTATGAACTCCATAGATTAGGCCTATTTGTACAATGAAAAAACACGAATAGTCCTAAAATGAACTTACATTCTTTGCAAGGTTTTAGTTCCTAAATTTTCACTTTGTTGCATGGAAAATAACCTTAATCTGTCATCTTACAGACTTATGAATATAATTATCAGAATATTTAATGTATTCTATTCTCAGTTGGAAAATTGTATTTGGTTTATCTGACCTGGTTTATTTTAAATGTGAAGTTTAAATGTGAGTTTCCTAATAGTTCAGAAAGTAAATCGTGTACCTACTATTGAACCTAATATACATTGTAAAATGTTTCTTGGAGACCAGTTTTCTGGCATCCTTAAACATGAATAGCCCTGGACTTGGAGAAAAGTAATCACCAAATCTTTATAATTGTAGATATGGTAAAAACAGTAAAGGAGAAGCCCTAATACTGATTATATGGAAAATTTACTGTTTCAATTGATATTGTTAGTTCAAAGGGAAAAGTATTCAAATGAGTTTAAGACTAAGAGAAATAAAAAAACTTAGATAACTAAAAATAGCACAAGAGAAGATGGGCTATATGCATGTTTTTTTGTCTTGGTTTTCAAGATTAGTTTCTCTGTTGTTAAGCTTTGTCTTCGTTTTTCTTGTTGGCTCCATCAGTTCCAGGTCTGCCACATTTGCACACTACACCACATAGAACAAGAACAAATGAATGTCCTTGGCTTTAATTAATTGAACTAATTTAGGTTACATGCCCAGTCACTGTGGTCAGGAAAATGCTATGTGTGCATTAGTTGAGGTCTGGCTTTTCTTGTGTGAACTAATTGTGAGGCAAGGAGGTTGAAAGTATACTGACTGAAGGTGGAAAATGAGCTCAATTTCACTTGAATAGCGTGACTGCTATACGATAGGGAGGTATAGAGAAATTGGGCAAGAAAGATCTTGTCCCTCATCACTGTCTTGTTATTATTTAAAAAATTAAAAATAAAAAAAAAACTAAGAAAGTCCGCAAGACAGAAAAACGAAAAAGAAAGGCAAAACAAAGATTGGAGAAATCTGTGCATGAAAAATTGAACAGTAATGGGAATTATAAGCAGCAGTGGTGGACTATAACAAACAACAGGTTTGTGACAGCAAAGAAGTTAATGATAATTAAAGAGGGGGAAAGGCAGTGTTATTAAACAATTTGATACTAAGATTCTTGAAAGCTATATCTGCTGTATACTGTATCATTTTGTATCACTTCAGAGTGCTTTCCTTTCCATGTAATGCAATACACAACTTGATGTCTCAATTAAGAGGATTTATTAGCTCATAAAACTGAAAAAGAAAAAAGAGGTAGGTCAGCCTTTAGGTGCTTAATAGAATATTGATGATGTCATCAAGTCTTGGCTTTGTTTTTTTGCAGTTCTCAGCCTGTCTATCTTTAAGCTAAGACCTTGATAGTTCCAAGTGCTGATTTTACTATTGTGGATCCTATGCTGACTTTGAAGAATTGAAGTTAGAGTTTGCTTCTCTAGAACCATGTAGATCCCTTAAAAAGAAATCAAGGCTTTAAAGAAAGGGAGCAAGAAATTTTGAGAACACAATCTTGAATTTTAAATTGGGCAAATAATCCTTTATTTGTTAATAGTCCACAGACATTAATTATAATTAATATTTATTGAGAACTTCTTATTTATCAGGCACTATTCTAGGTTATAGCCTTATAATATCTCGTGGAGCTAATGCAGCAGAAGGAGACCTAGAACAAATAAATTAAAAAGATAATTTTAGACAATAGTAAATATTCTTAAAAACAAACAAACAAACAAAAAACCCAACTAGCTGGGAAGAGAGTCAGACAAGGCCTCTTTGAGGAAAGTTTCTATTTGTGCCAGAACCTGTGTGATAAGAAGTGTGCAAGGACCAAACTTCACACAGTGTTCTGCATAGAACCAGCAGGGAAGGCACTGAGATGGGAATCATGTTGGAATATTAGAAGACTAGAAAGAGAACCAGAATGTCTAGTACACAGTGAATAAGTGAGAGAAGGGATGAGGAGAGATGAGAAATGGGCATAGCCTAGGTGTGGTAAGGAATAAAAATTATTTTTTTTTAAGCAGACGTATGAACTAATATGATTCTCTCATAGGCAAGTTATGATATACTGGTGTAGCCTGCATAAGAGGTTAGAAAAAAATATATTTTAAGAATTCCATTTWAAAAAAAATAACTAAGCCAGGCATGGTAATACATGCCTATAATCCCAGCGGTTTGGGAGGCTGAGCAGGTATATCCCAAGTTTAAGGTTAGCCTAAGCAACTTAGTGAGACTCTATCTCAAAAGCAAAAAATAAAGAAGGCTAGGGAATGTGTCTCAGTGGTTAAGTGACTGTGGGTTTAATCTCTGGTACCAAAAGAAATATTATATATATATATATAATCACTAAGCTTTATTGAACCTATTTTCTCCTGAGCAGTTCTTTTTTGTTGTTGTTGTTGTTTTGTTTTGTTTTGTTTTTACAAATTGCTGTTACTGTGTAGAAATTCTGGTGTACATGACCTTGACTCATTTATGTCAGATGTTCAAAATTAGTGTACAGAATTCACAAGATATTTTAAATTGTTTAAAAATGTATCCTTTTTTTTTTTTTTTTTTTTTTTTAGGCAACATTGAATATTATTCACAATGTTGTTCTCTCAGTTCTTGACAAAAACCAAAGGACTCGAGAATTGGAGGAGATTTCACAGCAGAAAAATGCTGCAAAAGATAATTCGCTGGATACAGAAGTGGCTTATTTAATCCATGAAGGCATGTTTATAAGTGATGCATTCAGTGAGGGCGAATTAGCACCTATAGTAGTTGACACTACCTCGCAAAGAAATGCATCTCCAAATAGTGAGCCCTGCAGCAGTGATTCAGTATCTGAACCAGAATGTACTACTGATTCTTCTTCTAGCAAAGAACAGACATCATCATCTGCTACTCCAGGAGGTGTGGATATTATGTGAGTATAGTGGTTGTTGCCAAATTGGCAAGATTTTTATTAAATCATTTTATTAATGGTTTCAGTAAGATTGAATATTCATTTTACTTAAAAAAATGTAAACTTTCATCTTGGAGTTTATCAAAAATATATTAATTTTTATTAAACATTCTCTTTGAAAACAGAAGAAAGGTACAGAGGTGAGATTTGAAGATAATGGAAAATTTATATGATTTAAAGGCAGGAAAGAAACTTTAATTTATTAAATTATTTAATTGAATGCCCTTATTTCAGTGATATGGCTACTGATGCCTTGAGAACTTTGTCACTAGTGTCAGAATTTGACCTGAACCTAGGTCTGTTATTGCTTTGGTCATTTTTCTTTCTTTTTTTTTTTTTAATATTTAATTATTTTAGTTTTAGGTGAACACAATATCTTTATTTTTTTTTTTTTAATGTGGTGCTAAGGGTTGAACCCAGTGCCTCACACATGCCAGGCAAGCACTCTACCACTTGAGCCACAATCCCAGCCCTCTTTGTTTTTCTCACTTTTGTATTTTTTGTATAGCAAAGATCTATTGATACACAACTTTTGGTTTTTCAAAGACATGAATTTCCAAGTGCACCATGCTGTCTTTTTAAACATTATTTTTTGGGCGGGGGATGTGGCTCAAGCGGTAGCGCACTCGCCAGGCATGTGTGCGGTTCGATCCTCAGCACCACATCCAAACAAAGATGTTGTGTCCGCCAATAACTAAAAAATAAATATTAAAAAAAATTCTCTCTCTCTCTCTCATTCTCTCTTAAAAAAAATTATTTTTTAAAAACTTATTTTGAAGTTCACATTTACAGACAAGTTGTCATGATAGTCATATCCATTTTACAGATTGCCCAATTGTTAATTGCCTTGTTTCCTTCCTTTTAAAAAAAATATTTTTTTCATAGTTGTAGACAGATAGAATGCCTTTATTTTATTTGTTTATTTTTACGTGGTGCTGAGGATTGAACCCAGTACCTCAGCATGCTGGGCAAGCACGCTACCACTGAGCTACAGCCCCAGCCCTGTCTCCCTCCTTTTTTCTTTCACTCCCCTCTCCCTGTCTCTCATGTTAATGTTTTTCTGAATCATTTGACAGGAGGTTGTAGGCATGATGCCCTATTATCTCAGATATTACAGTATGTACTTCCAGAATACAAGAGTACTCTCTACATAATCATACTATACCAATTAAATATAAGAAAACAGTGATGAATTATTACCATATAATCCATAGACCACATTCAAAGCTCATGAGGTATTCCAGTAATCTCTGGTATCTAAAAGACAAAACAAAGCCAATAAAATTTTGTGGCCTAAGAGGTTTGAATTTAGATATTGTTAAGAATAATAAGACTTTTTACTTTTGCTAATCTTTACATAATCAACCTGTGCTCTAGGAGTTTATGGAAGTCATAGTTACAGTATTAAGCCAACTATAACACCACTTCCTACCAAAACAACTCCTGAACTGTGTGTAAATATATATATATATTCATTTTTTGGCTAATATTTTCATATTTATAAAAGGAAGGGTATAGCCTAAAATTGTTATTCAAAGAGAGATAAAAATGTAATAGGGAATTTTGCTTAAATAGTAAACAATTTTATTTCTGTCATGTAACATTTCAGAGATAGGGGAGCCTCACTTGAAAAGGCAGCTTTCCTTCTGCAGCATGTAGCTTCCATTTGTGTCTAAGGCTATATTCTAGCTTTTTCCCTATCCCCTGGTATTGAGGATTGAACCTAAGGCCACTTTACCTTTAAGCTACATCACCATCCCACCCCCATTTTTTTTTTTTTTTTTTTGTACAGGGATTGAACTCAAGGGCACTTGACCACTGCGCCACATCCCCAGCCCTGTTTTGTATTTTATTTAGAGACAGGATCTCACTGAGTTGCTTAGTGCCTCGCTTTTGCTGAGGCTGGCTTTGAACTCGAAAGTCTCCTTCCTCAGCCTCCAGAGCCACTGGGATTACTGACTTGTGCCACCATGCTCATTCCCATCCCATTTTAAATTTTATTTTGAGACAAGTGAGTTTTGCTAAGTTTTCAGGAGGATCATATTTGGGACCCACCTGCCTTAGCCTCCCAAGTAGCTGGGATTACAGATGTGCATCACTACTTCTGATGCTGTTTCAGCTTTTATCATCTCATCTACATCCCTAATAGCAAGAAGATGACAAAGAGTGGTATCCTCCTTTTTTCTTTTTTTAACTTTTTCATTGGAATATATGCAAATATGAGAAAATGCAACAATTAATGTGTTCATCTCAAATAATTACCACAAAATTAAAACATTGGTGTAACCACCACTCAGGTCAAGAAATAGAATATTCTCAACTCTTGGGGCTGGGGTTTTGGCTCAGTGGTAGAGTGCTTGCCTAGCTCATGTGGGGCACTGGGTTTGAGCTTCAGTATCATATAAAAATAAAATAAAGGTATTGTGTCTAACTACAACTTAAAACCAAAATATTGTGGGGAAAAAAAGAATATTCTCAACTCTTCAGAAAAATCCATTGCTACTGCTTCAAAGAGACCTTTAATAAAATTATTGGCTTTTCTAATTTTTAAACTTTATATAAGGTGGAAGTCATAGTTACATAAGTGGAATCATATATATGATAGTCTTTTGTGTCTGTTTTTTTAATTCAACATTGTGTTTGTGATATTTGTCCATTTTTTTTTTTGGCTCTTTTTAAGAGCACAACCCCCAATTTGCACTTATTACTTTCACTTCCATCCTAGAGGCCAGAAGGTTATCACATAACTATATGTAGCTGGAAGGGAGGCTTGAGTTTGTTGTTGGGTCTTTAGCTTGTTGACTATTTGTCCTGCTTAAACTCTTTTATTATTGCAGAAGAGAGAACGAATACTGAAATATAAATAGCAGTCTGCCATAGTTTAATTTGAGGTTCTTTTAAACCAGATGTAGTCTCATAGTATTTATTCCCTCCCGCTTATCTTCATTGTGGCTTACTTTATACTTAGAACATTCTCTGGCTTTCTCCACTCATACGTTACCCCAGAAGATAGTAGTTTCTTCTATGTTCAACAGGCACATGAATGTCTGGGAACTATCTAGCCCAGAGGGGCAACGAATTAATTGAATATGTGTATACCTAACTAGTGTTTTCATACAAACTATTTCTGACAATTATTCAGTACTTTTGTAGTATAATATATGTATATGTATGTATGTAACTAGTGTTTTCATACAAAACTATTTGAATATATACACACACACACTTTTTTGTGTGTATACTAGGGATTGAACTCAAGGGCACTCAACCACTAACTAAGCCAGCCAGATTCCCAGCCCTATTTTTGTATTTTTATTTAGAGACAGGGTTTCACTGAGTTRCGTAGCACCTTGCCTTTGCTGAGGCTGGCTTTGTAAACTCATAATCCTCCTTCCTCAGTCTCTGGAGCCACTGGGATTATGGGCATGTGTCACTGCGCCCACCTTATTTCTATTATTCAATACTTTTGTAGTATAAAATTGTAGTGGATGTAGAATGTGTAAACATGATGTCTGATATTTTAACTTTATTAGTAGATTTTCCTATATATGAAAATAATTTACAATTTTCTAAGTTTATTGCAGCACAAACTAGGACACAGAAGAGTAAATACTCTTCCAGGCAGAAATAGGAAGGGAAAATTGTGGAAATGATTAGAGTTGTAGAGTTTTACATTTTAAAAAAAAATAATGTAAAAATTTTTAAGTTTTCATTTTTAATTATAATAAAAATGAAATTTACTATGTTAATAATTTCTAAGTGTACAATTCAATAGTGTTAAATATATTCACATCGTGAAATCAATCTCCCAAACTTTTTCATCTTGTAGAACTGAAACTGTACGCAATAACCACTCTCCATTCTGCCTCTCCCCAGCCACTGGCAACCACCACTACTTTCTGTCTTTATGAATTTAAACATTCTAGTTCCTGCGTAAAAGTAGAATCATAGTGGTTTTTTGTAACCAGCTTATTTTATGTAGCATAATGTCCTTAGAGTACATCCATGTGTCTTATATGTCAGAATTTCCTTCCTTTAAGGCTGAATAATATTCCATTATATGAATTTGCCACATTTTGTTTATTTATTCATATGTCAGCACTTTGTTTACTTCTACATCTTAGGTATTTTGGATAGTTCTGCTATGAACTTGGGTGTGCAAACGTATGTTTGAGATCTTTTGGATATACATTCAGAAGTGGAAATCCTGCATTGTGTTTGGATTTGTTTGTTGCTTTTTTCCAGTGATATGAAAGTTAGGCAATTAAACTTACAAAATAAAAATAAATCTTTTGAAAAGCAAAATTATAGCTAATTAAAAAAATTTTTTTAAACTTTTCCTGGGGCTGGGACTGGGGTTGTAGCTCAGTGGTAGAGCGCTTGCCTAACATGTGTGAGACACTGGGTTGGATCCTCAGTACCACATTTAAAAAAATAAGTAAATAAAATAAAGGCATGCTGTCCATCTACAACTATTTTTTTTAAAAAAGTTTCCAGCTTTTTCTATTTGTCATCCTACTTTTAAAAGACTTTACTTGTTTGTTTGTTAATATTTTTTTAATTGTCATTGGGCTTTTTAAAATTTATTTATATGCAGTGTGAGAATTGAACCCAGTGCCACATACATGCTAGGCAAGAGCTATACCGCTGAGCCACAACCCTTCTACCCCTGAGACACAACCCCAGCCCTTCACTTGGTTTTATTTGATGTTTTCCATTTATATCTTCGTGAATTGGTAGCATACAGCCAAGACTTCAAAATTCTTTAATCATTCTGTTTCATGGGCAAATTTTAATAATCTTTACAGAAAATGAAACTTTAATACTAAATTTGAGGTTTAAGTAGACATTTCTGAGGGACCTAGTATTGAAATGCTACTAGACGGTTTATACAGAAATAAATGTTATAGTAGAGAAAGTATAGTCAATTAGATATGGACTAATTCTGGATCCCAGTCCTACTCTTTGTAACCAGTGACCTTAGATAAACTACTTAAGCTTTCTAAAATTCAGTGTCCTCATCTGTAAATAGATATCTACSTGCCTCAGAGTGAGGGAATTAAACAATACACTATTCCTGAGAATACTTTAAGAATATCAATCTGTTATTTTAAAGCATTAGTAAATGAACATCGTGATATTGAAAATTTGAAGGATAGTTAGTAATAACTTACCATAATACCTTAACCCAGTTCATATACATACATCAGAGCCTCTTTGAAAATTGTTATAACTTAGCAGAATGGGAGAAAAACAGTAAGACATTTTACTTGGCTCATGGTAAAAGTAACTGAACTGTTAAAATGAAATCATTGGTCTTTATGTGTATATTCCTAGGGGAAAATGCTTAAAAACCTGATCATACATTTCCCTTCAAAATTGAAAAATATGTATTACCTCTTATAAATTGTATTCCTTCCAACTTCCTAGCAGTTAAATTCAGTAATGCTCAGTCATTAAGTAAATATGAGTTAATATTAAGTAATTCATAATTTTAAATGAAAAGAGGGCCACTTGTCGTGATATAACATTCCTTCCTTCTTCCTTCTGCTGTGTTACTCCTAAGTGCCTAAGTACAACCCCTGTTCTGCCAAAACTACCATCACAGCTACCACCTAGTCCCTTGCCAGACAAATTGTTTTGCTCTAATATGTGCAGATTTCCAATCAGGATATGAACTAAGTATTGAAAATACTATAGAGAAAAAATTATTGTAAGGCTTAGTTTAAATATATATTACACGTTGTATAATATATATGTATAATTAAATATATATTTAAATATATATCATCATATATATTGTAATATATGTATAATAATTTACAACAATAAAATATTATGACATGTAATATATTTATAATATATAATATACATATATTTAAATATATATTATYTGAGCATGATTAAAGATGTTCTGTAATCATAAACTTCAAAGTTAAAATTTACTATTCAAGTTTTATTTTCTGAAGCATTGCTAAAATTGGATATATCACAAAATCTTCCTCAAATGTGAATTTTCAAGTGTTTATCCTTTTTTGTTGATTATATCACCTATGGAGAACTGTGTTAACAGTTTTCCCTAAATCTCATTGTATCATTTTCAGGGTCAGTGAAGACATGAAATTAACTGACTTAGAGCTGKGGAAGCTGGCAAATAATATCCAAGAGTTATTGTATAGTGCCTCAGATATATGTCATGATCGAGCCGTCAAATTTCTCATGTCAAGAGCAAAGGTATTTTCATAATACTTTACATATTTTATATTTATATGTAGGATAGTTAGGTTAGAGATCCAGAATTATATCTTTGCTTATATCTGTATTTTCCCTGTAATGCATTTTATAATTTTAACAATAAATTAATGATATTGGTGTGTTGTAGTAAAGAAGTGCTAAGATGTAAAATAATTAAAGAAATAGGAAAAATTATTTAAGTATTATTTTCAAATAAATAAAGGACTTACTATAAAATATAACATCTTAGTAATTAATATGAATGTAAGATGCTGTTTTATATATGCACGTGTATATATATGGTCAAACAAAATTAAACTTCAGGATGGTGGAAAAAGCTATACAATGACCTGAATTCATTTAAGTTACTGTATTAGTTATAAAGGAAACATTCAAATTCAAGACATCTTAAGCTTTTCATGTTCAGTTTTTAGATATGAAATATTGGGAAATTTCATTTAAAATGATAAGAAATAAATTTTATTAATTACAAAAGTAAAAATGATAAGAAATAAATTTTATTAATTACAAAAGTAATTAACATATAATTATATAATATATTATAGAAAAAGATAATACTGAAATTTATTAAACTTAGTTGGTTTTATAGCTCACCCATATTTGGTTTTTATATTAACTTCCATCGTGATTTTTGTGTTATTTTTTAAAATTTAGGATGGTTTTCTTGAGAAGTTAAATTCCACGGAATTCATTACACTTTCTAGATTAATGGAAACATTCATTTTAGAGACAGAACAGATCTGTGGAAGAAAAAGCATGTCATTACTTGGAGCACTTCAAAGCCAAGCTAATAAATTTGTAAATAGATTTCATGAAGAGAGAAAAACCAAGCTCAGGTATCATTACTGTGTAATTTTTTTCTTTGCAAAAACACAATTACATTTTAAAAATAATTAATTGACTAGCCAAAATTTCTGCTTTTTTTTTTTAATTAAAGACAGATTATGGGGGCTGGGGATGTGGCTCAAGTGGTAGTACGCTCGCCTGGCATGCGTGCGGCCCGGGTTCGATCCTCAGCACCACATACCAACAAAGATGTTGTGTCCGCCAATAACTTAAAAATAAATAAATAAATTTTTTTTTTTTTTTTAAAAAAAGACAGATTATGGAGTTAAAATTTACCTTTTGACTTTTCAAAGTGGAGTTAGAATGCTTACTTATGTAAAAGTGCCTATCTGGAAAATTGACTTGTTTCTTAACTCAAAGTTAAGTAAATTATGTTTCATCACTATTGGGTAGGCTAAGAGGTATAAAAGTATTGATACTGTTTATGAATGATTCAATTAAAGTGTCCAGCACTTTTAAAATCTTAAGTAGTCACTAAAATTGGAATGAAGAGAAGATAAGCATGGCCCCTGTGCAAGGGTGACATGCATATTCGTGAAGCACTCTATACTTTTGTAGAAAATAACCTTATACAGATGGCGAGAAATTGACTTCTCATTGGGAAGATATCAGAACAAGGCTTAATAGAAATCCTTGAAAAAGTAAGCCAACAAATAGAAAGCAAAAGTTAAATTCAACAGAAGAAGAGTAATAGACTCTGATGAAGATGATGATTCCTGGAACAATTCTAGTACAGAAATTAAGATATGTTTAAATGTTTACTTTATTGTCTTTATGCTTTTTTAAAAAAATAAACTTGTTATGCAGAGTTATACATATTTTCAAATTGTATACTTCACATTTGCAAAAATCTTAGATATTCAGCTAAGCTCTACTTTCTTATCAACCAAGGAAGATGATATTGAAACATTATTAAAGTTTACTTTTCTTTCATCTTTTGAATAGCCTCCTCTTAGACAATGAGCGCTGGAAGCAAGCTGATGTTCCTGCAGAATTTCAGGATCTTGTTGATTCTATATCAGATGGAAAGATTGCTTTACCTGAAAAAAAATCAGGGGGTATGTGTTCTTCCACACACTTTCTTCCAATTTTTTATTATTTGTTTATTTTGTAAGAATGTTTAATGTTGCTTTAATTGAGAATACCTATTGAAAAACCTAGAACTAAAGCTTCCAATTAAGTATTTGACAGGAAAAGTATTTGTTTTAATTTATAATAATAATTTTGAATACTTATGAGTGTAATCATATGCTAGACCCTGGATGATGTCCTTTACATCTAGTGAACACTAATTAGCTTCCACTTTGTGTCATATGGAGCAAAGATAACAGTTATGATTTTATTTTAAAGACACTAAGTTTAATGAATAAAACCAAAAATATGTAAACAATTGCATAACAAAAACCAAAATGTGAAGAACTATGGGAAAAGAAAAAAGGACCAGTGAGATAGGAAGAAATTCATAAAAATAGAAGTAAAAAAAATTAAAAGTTTAATTTAATTTTCTCTTTGAACCCAGAGCCTCATGCATGGTAGGTGAGTGCTCTACCTCTGAGCCACAACCCCAGCCCCCACCTATATATTTCATTTTTAAGAGTTCAACTTAGAAGTTATTCTATTTTCACAGTGTGACATTTCTTATTATTGTGTAAACAATTGCATAACAAAACCCAAAATGTGAAGAACTATGAGAAAAGAAAAAAGAAGGACCAGAGAGATAGGAAGAAAATTGTCATGGATTATCAAATACCAGTTGGGTTTCAAAACAAATAGATGGAATAACTAGGACATATGTTTGTTAAAATGGCGTCATCTGATAATGTAAATTGATTTTTAATGCATTCTGAAATTATGAACTTGAATACATTTAATGGAGAAGGCAATTGCATTATTTCAAATTTTTATGCATTTTTAATTCAAGTTTAGTGGTTTTACATAGCCATATTTTCAAATTGTATACTTCGCATTTGCATAAAATACAACTTTGCTACAAGAGACTGAATAAAATACAGTTAGTGACCATTGATTTGACATGTAGAAGAAAGTTTACAGTATCAATAATTGAGTGGAGTGATAGTGTCAGTGTGCAGTTCATTGCTAAGGGAGGCTAGACAAATGTAGCCCACTTTATCAATAAAGTTTAGTTGTGAAGGAAAAGTGGGTGATGAAGTGGTAGCTAGAGAGATTGAGAAATTAGATTGTTTCCTTAATCCACTCAGAGAGTTGAGAGAAGAGATTTTTTTTGTTTTTTGTTTTGGGTCAGAGGAAGCTGAATTATATTTTCATGCCTAACAGAAATAAGAAGCAGCTAGAATTGAATCCAGAGTTCAAGAGAAAGCCTATCTCTTACCATTATGACATGAGGGAAGGGATTAAGGGCTGGTTATAGATAGATTCATTCATATAGGACAGAAGAATCAAATCAAAGGAATTATGTAAATTTCTCTTAATATTTTAAATATGTAAATTTCTGTGACTATTTTAAATGGGTAACCATGTCAGGTTGCAATTTTTAACTGATTATATGATACTAGCAAAACAAAGCCTTCATAACTTATCATTCATCTAGTCTTGCAAGCTGTATTTTATTGATAACCTATTATGTGAGGTGCCATGCCAGACAGCTCGGACTTGTTTTCTTTCTCTGAAAGCTCAGTCTTTGAAGTCTACTATTATACAAACAGAATGATTTTTTAAATTAAAATATTTTTTAAAATGTGGAATGATTGAATTAAATGTTGTTGTTTTCCTAYAAAGTGAACTATTTTCAATCCCTCTTTGTAGGATTCTGGTAGTATGAGGTTTCTCTTAAATACTTTTCTTCTTCCTCAGCCTCTACCCTTTTATGAATAATATTTTAGTAGTTCTTATTAAGATAAATATCCTGGGTTATTATTTATCCACCATACATTTATTGAATCATTAGGATGCGGCTAGCATTGGGGAAATGAAGTTAGTGAATAGCAATTATACTGATTTTTTTTTTAAATTTATTTTTTAGTTGTAATTGGACACAATACCTTTATTTTATTTATTTATTTTTATGTGTTGCTGAGGATCGAACCCAGGGCCTCGCACGTGCTAGGCAAATGCTCTACTGCTGCCACAACACACACACACACACACACACACACACACACACAAACACACACACACCCATACATCCTGCCATTGAGTTTTTATTTGGTGCTAGACACCGTTCTAAGTACTTTACATGTATCATATCATTATCATTTACAGGTCCATGATCTAGATGCTGTTAATATCATCACCTAATAAATATGGAAACTAAGGCAAAAGGGCTTAGGTAACTTAGAGTTACATAGCTAGGAGGTAGTAGAGTAGGATTCATATTCAGGTATACTGACATTTGGGTTCTTGCTCTTACCTACATCACTGTGTTCCTTCTTTGTAATATAGAGAGCTGGTTCCGAAACAGTCCTTTCTCTAAAAAAATTTGTAGTCCAAAGGACATAGTGAATTGTGTGTAGAAATTTTACCACAATGGATTTCTTTTCATGAAAGAAAAGAGGTAGTAGAGTTTTTTGTCTAATAGTTCAAAGGGACTTGAATCTTAGGGGAGAAATGATTTGACTGTAGCAATTATTTCATTTGGCTGATCAAGGATGATAATCCAGTCTCCTGTTCTTTTCACCACAAAATGCTGAATTATCTTATATAATAATAAGAAATGTCATACTATGAAAACAGAATAACTTCTAAGTTGAAATCTTAAAAATGAAATATATAGGTGGGGGCTGGGGTTGTGGCTCAGAGGTAGAGCACTCGCCTACCATGCATGAGGCACTGGGTTCAATCCTCAGGACCACATAAAAATAAAGATATTGTTATAACTAAAAATAAATATTTTTTAAAAATAAAATAAAATAAATATATAGGTGGGTACAGTGGTGCATACCTACAATCCCAGTGGTTCAGGAGGCTGAGGCAAGAAGATCTCAAGTATGAGACCTGCCTCAGCAACTTAGTGAGACACTGTCTCAAAATTTAAAAAGGCTGGGGATGTAGCTCAGTGCTATAGTGATTCTGGGTTCAATTAGTACCAGAAAGGAAAGGAAAGAAAATAAAGATAAAATACAGAAAATACATAATCTGTCCATTAAATTTAGAAATTAACTCATATTTTATGTATGTATGTTGTAGTTGGACACAATATTTTATTTATTTTTAATAAATTCTGAGGATCGAGAACCCAGGGCTTCACATGCCAGGGCACATGCTAGGCGAGTGCTCTGCTGCTGAACCACAACCCCAGCCTAATTAACTCATACTCTAATAATGACAACGACAGTAATAAAGACAGCAAGGCAAAAAGCTAGTTCTGCCTTTCCAAACTAATAATAATTTTGTTTTTTAACTACCATGTGCCAGGCCTAGAGGGTTGGCAGTTTATAATCTTTAACAATAATCATTAACAGCAATCCTGAAGCATTTCATGGATACAGATTGAGTCTCAGAGAAGTTATTGACTTAAGGTAATTGATAATTGGTAATACCCAGACTAAAATCAAATCTAACTCCAAACCCAAAGTACTTTATTTACTCTACCAAATTGCTTCTGAAGAAGTAGATATTTGTTTCCAGAAAGGAGATAGTTTCAGGCCTGAAAACAGAATTATTGTTTTCAGTGGTTTTCTCCAGTATTTTGTTTCACCATATACATACCCCTTCTTGTTTATTTGCTTTCCTCTTTTACCTACAGAAGAAAGAAAACCAGCTGAAGTTCTCATTGTTGAGGGACAACAGTATGCTGTTGTTGGGTGAGTAGTATAATTGTCTTTATTAGTTGAGTCGATTATTTGAAATATAAGTCTTCTATTTTCCTCTTAAAGTGAATGAGGAATTTTGGATTAACAATTTTAAATCCTAATGAAGTATTTAAAGGAAATTTTATGGATTCCTTTTTATTTTCTGTATTCTATGTGTGCTTTATCACTGGGTTAATAAAAGAGGCCTTGATTTTTCTCATGTAATAAGAAATGTAGACAGCCATGATTGATGTAATGGCTCTTTGAATTTATTACCATCATAGGTTCTTGCCATCTTCTTTTCTTATGCTTTCTTAGTCTGTAGTATAGCATGAAGTAGTTTAAATCATGGCTTCTGGAGCCTTCAAAATGTTAAAACAGGTAATGCTGTAAACCATTTAGCACAGTTCTTTTTGTTTTGGTTTGGTTTTAATACCAGGGATTGAACCCAGGGGCGCTTAACCACTGAGCTACATCCCCAGCTTTTGTTTATATTTTATTTTGAGACAGGGTCTTGCTGAGTTGCTTAGGGTTTCATTAAGTTGCTGAGGCTGGTTTTGAACTTGTAATTTCTTCTGCATCAGACTCCTGAGCCATGGGATTACAGTTATGTGCCACATGTGTGACCCATTTTAGCACAGTTCTAATATATTGGTGGTTGTTTTTCATAATTCCAGTTGTTAGATCTTTTAATCTTTTATTAATAAATATCTCTAATTCAAGGTAACAAAGAAATATACAATTCCAGCATTATGTTTGGCATGACAGGCCTTTTTAAAATTGGTAATTAAATATTATCTTCTTACACATTTAAAAAAATTTTATATTCTTATTTATTTATTTATTTTTAAATTGTAGATGGACCCAATATCTTAATTATTTTATTTTATTTTTTTATCTTTATATGGTGCTGAGAATGGAAACCAGGGTCTCACACCTGTGAGGCAAGTGTTGTACTACTAACCTACAGCCCCAGCCCTATTTTCATATACTTTAATAGCACTTTATAGTTTTAAGTATTTTCATATATCTGATCTCATTTGATCTTTATCATCACTTAGTAAAATAGACATGTCAGAGATTATTGTTTCCTTTCTGAGTTACAAGAATCGAAGCTTAGAAGGTTAAGTGATTAACAAGGTGGCCCAAATAAAGTCAATTAGAATTTAGATCTAACTCCCAATATCTAGATCATCATTCACTTTCCTTCTTTGCTTCTTGTCACCAAGAGTTTTCTGAAATAGCTGCCCTTTCTGGGAAGAAAGGACCTCTATGAGCCTTATCATGGAACTTACTATAGTATAGTTAAATTATTCCTTTATGTGTATGTCTCCTTGGTAAGACTGAATTCTGCAAAGGTAGGCGATCATGTATTACCGTTATTATTTTTCTTGGCACTATAGTAAGCTCTCAAAAAGCATGTACAGAATTAATATGGGTTTGTTTGTTTTTTAATCCATATTTCAATCTCTAAAAATACACAAATTCCAAACTAAAGCCTCATTTCCTTTATCCTCAGGAGTCCTTCCTTGTTTCCAATAGAGCTAAGCTTTGTTCAACCCTCTGTAATCTCATCTCTTTTCTCTCCTTTAACTTTCCTCCTTTATCTGGTTGCACTTTATGTGCTTGATGGAAATGGTCCCTCTCTGGCTCTGACTTTTCAGGCAGAGTCTATTGCCAAAAAACTGAACTACCTGAATAAAGGTGGGTTATTATGTTTTCTGGGAGAAGATTATGAAAAATATGCAGTGGACTCATGCCAAATAGAGCAGGCTCTAGTTAAGCTATATAGAGCCTAGGTGCTGTATTTTTTTCTGTGCAATACTGGGAATTGAAACCAGGGCCCCATACATTCTAGGCAAGTGCTCTACCACTGAGCTACATTCAAAGCTTTTTTTCATTTCTTATTTTGAGATGGAGTCTCACAGAGTTGCCCTAGCTTGCTTTAAACTTGTGATCCTTCTGCCTCAGCCCCTCAAGTGACTGGGATTACAGGTGTGCTCCACCATCCCAGTTTAAATGTTATCTTTCTTGATTCAGTGGTTCCTGATATCCTTTACTGAGAACAGCCCCAGCCCTATATTCTTTATACTTTTATAAAGTATTATTTTATGTGGATTTTTCATTTCTGAGCATTTCAGTGAACTTAGATGTCCTATAATAAATGGTTCTTTTTCTCTTAATTTTAGTCTCATTTAATCTTCCAGTAGTGTGTCTTTTTAGTTTGTTCTGTAATGAGCTGGTAATATTTCATTTTTGGAGAGTCTTTTGACCTATGAATAAACTTCTTACATAATATGTTCCTTAGAAGCTGTTATGGCTTCTTCCTCATTTTCATCTCACTAAGAAACTCTGGACTAGGTTCCCTTCATCAATTCAGTAGCTATGATTGAAATCTGCTACACAGTTAATCAGAAACGCTGGCTAGTCTTTTTGTCGTTGTTTTGGAATTGGCCAAAGAATAGAATACTTCCCTTATAAAGAGACTTTCTTAATAAGAATGCCATAAACCAAGTACTATGCTTACAGCACAAAATCTGACAAGCCACTTATTCTCAGTGTCATGTAAGTAAGTACTGATTCTGTAATTACACAAATCCTTAAATCTTTCACTCTAAGTGCTTCTTTTGTTCTACATTAGACCAGAACCTGTTGCACTTTTAGGTGAAACACATAATTTAGCAGTTATCAAAATTAGCATATCAGGCTGGGGATGTGGCTCAAGCGGTAGCATGCTCGCCTGGCATGCGTACGGCCCGGGTTCGATCCTCAGCACCACATACAAAACAAAGATGTTGTGTCCGCCGAAAGCTGAAAAATAAATATTAAAAAAATTCTCATTCTCTCTCTCTCTCTCTCTCTCTCTTTAAAAAAAAAATCAGCATATCCTCAGAGATGCATCGAACTAATAAGTAATTTGATTTTTTTATATGCCAAATCAGTTTAAATTTTTTTGTTTTGATTGCCTGTGGGACATTTTCTTTTCTTATAGAACTGTATTGCTGTTAATAAGAATTATCCTTGAATATTGCCAGTGTGTGGATAACATCCCATCTGTTACTACTGACATGCTTACTCGTCTGTCAGATTTGTTGAAGGTGTGTATGATTTTACCTTTTTATGGAAATATAGTTAAAAGAATTAACCCATTAGGATATAACTAACCTTTCAACTCTAAGACATTTCAAGGTCAAGTTATCTTTAAGACATTAATTTTGTGTTATTTAATTGTGGTTGCATCACATGTTACTAGAGAAAGGGCTGCCTGCTTCCTTCTCACTCTACATTTAGTGATTCCTCATTACACTCATAGAGTTGTTAATGACATTGGAGACAGGAGATGATTTGTTCGTTAGGTGCTGAACATGACTGAGGCCACTTAGGTCAAAAAACCTGGACTGGTTTCAAATGTGCATGGAAGGAATTCACTGAACATTACAAAATTCATCTCACTAAGGTTAGAGATTTTTCTTACATCATTCTTTCAGAACAATTGATGTAAAATGAAAATGTGATAATTTTATTCAGCCATTTCATATTGACAGATATTTTTAATTGTTAGAATATAGGAAAAGCTTTATTTTTTTCAAACCTTTATTCTATCAATATTGCCCTGAACTTGAATTTTAGTCAAGAAATATTTTTACTCTTTTGAAAACAGGATGTTTGAATAAGAATGCTGAAACTAAATTAGTATTGTGAATGCAAACTAAAGATAAGTTTCTGAAAACTTTTAGAATTTCAATTTTTTATTTATCAAAAGTAAATATTGTCATTTAGAATTCCCCTCTTCCTTTTTTTTTTTTTTCATTATTACATAAATAGATCCTAACTGCTTCTACTAGAAAATTCATTTGGTCCTTGAATGAGAGGAAAAAGGAATGTATTTTTAGGATAGTTAACACATCATCAGGATATAAAAGAATGGCTTTTAATAAATCGTTGAGTTTGGGTTTTTTTGTTTTTTGTTTTTTTTCCCCCTTCTTCCTTTCTTAGTACTTCAATTCAAGAAGTTGCCAGTTAGTTCTTGGAGCTGGTGCATTGCAAGTTGTTGGACTAAAAACAATAACTACAAAAAATTTGGGTATGGATTCTTGTATTTCATTCAAATGTTAAGGTATTATAATGATGTAATTCTTCTTACCCTGTTTTTATCATACCTGATAGTTTCATGGCTATAAAAGTGGCAAATGCTACTTTATTCTTTTATGTGTTGTTATAATTGAAAAACTAATCTGGGGAAATTATATAAGGAATTTCCACTCTTAACTCTTAATAATTTATTATTTAGAAGCTGCTTCACTCTGGAAAATGTTAAATAATATGTAATATTTAAGAAGTACTTTGGGGTGAAAGGTATCTGAATGTCAGAAGAGAATAAATTGTCTTGTTAGTGTCCTCATACTTGTAATGCTAGCAACTCAAGTCCATTGAGAAAACAGCATATTCATTGAATTATTTAGCACTAAATTATTTTCTTAAAAATGAAATGGGTTACCTTTACCATGGTGCTCTTCATTTATGAAATAAACTGGGGTTCTTTATGAAATTAATGGACATTTTAAACTTAATTGCCTTTGTAATTAAAATCAACAATTTTTGTTTCTCCATTATGTACCCATTCCCTGAATCTTTAGCTCTTTCTTCACGATGTTTGCAGTTAATTGTGCACTACATTCCTGTGATCCGGGCTCATTTTGAAGCTCGACTACCACCTAAGCAATATAACATGCTTAGGCATTTTGATCATATCACTAAGGTATTTTTCATGTATTTTCTATTGAAGTTCATAAATTTAATTCCTTAATTGTTAAATATTTTTGTATGTGTCTCAGGAACTATAAGATACAATATCATTTCTCATTTCAGGATTACCATGACCACATTGCTGAAATATCAGCTAAACTTGTAGCGATAATGGATAGCTTATTTGACAAGCTGTTATCGAAGGTAATAATTTATGAAAATCATTAGGCTCTGCTTAAAAGCATTGGTGACTATTCATTTTATAGAGGATCCTTTATGTTATACATAAGTTAAAATGTGATACTAGAATCTAAATTTTTAAAAGATATATACCAACTGGCAGAATTTATAAACAGTTTTTAAGGAAAATGTGTCCATCTTCTTTGACACCAAAGTGGTCACAGACGTCTTAACAAATCAACTCCCCCAGAGTTTAGAAAACAACTCAATAAAATGTCAATTTTATGTTCATCTTCTAAAGGCCAGAGGTGGGAGAGAGTAAGGGAGATAATTCAGGGTGGTAGAAATCCTTCATAGAAGCATTTTTATGTTGGCTACATCAACAAATGTATATCTTCTTCAAAACAAACAATTTGAAAGCCTTCCAAAGACAGAATTGTAAGGACAAGAATCCATAAGAAAAAAAGGAAATTTATTTGAAATAAAGTATGTGACTTTATTTTCCAAGCTGAAAAATGCTCTGAGAGTCTGAGGTGCTTTATTGTTTTTCTCAGAGACAATTCTAGGGTCTGTTTCTTTTCATTCCCATAAGTCATTAAATAAAGTAATGTTCTATAAGGAATACTGGAAGGGTATCTTCCAAAAATGTTATTTAATCAGCCCCACTCACTTTTGCCCTATCCTTTACTCTTTGCTTTTCCTATATTCTTCAATGCATATCTTTGGGGGAAAGAAGAAATTTTGTAACTTGGATGTTTGAAGGTTTATTTAGTGTCGACTTTATGCCCAAGATCATACTTAGAATAAAACTTACTGAGCAAGGAACTTTGATTTGCTTTTTCACAAGGGTGAATATCTTGTTGAGATAGCAAAATATCTAGCAGGGGAAGTATATCAATAATGACAAGAAGTAGAATATGTATTTATTCCTTAAGTAAGGAATTGTTTTAATGCATTGGAGCATTTAATGCTTTAAAAGAGATGGTTGCCAATTGGAGAGGAAGATATGAGATAGTTTTATAGATGTAGTATGCATATAAATTTTGCTTTTAAAGATAAGATTAGGGCATATGAAGTTGAGGTGAAGATATCTCTGAGAAAAAAGTCTGAGCAAACATGTTGTTAGAAATCACAAGGAAGTAATTTAGATTCAAGTATACCTAAATTCAGATTCCATGTATGTTACACATTAGTCACTGAAGGACCTTGGGCAAACTCTTTTTTTTTTTTTTTAAGCCTCCGTTTCCATTTCTAAATGGGAGTAATAGAGGTTACCTCATAGGTTGTAATGGAGATTAATGAGATAATATATGTGGAATGCTTTTCTTTTATCATATATCTAACTATAAGCAAGTCCTAGTAAATATTGGCTGCTAATATTTTGCTGTTGTTAATAACAAAGGTAGCAGTTCTATTTAGGGTGAATAGAAGGTAGCTCTGTTTAGGGTGCACTGGTGTGAGTGGAAGAGTTGGGGATATGTTGGGAAGATAGTGAAGATCAGTGGCTATCAGTAGAAAGCTAAGCAATTTAAATCAGGTTTATTGGTATAGTTTACATTCAGTAAAATTTAGCCTTTTTAAATACATGGTGTAAACAAGGGAGAGAATTGAACAACAGCAGATGAGGTAGAGAGGGAAGATGGGAGGGGAGGGGAGGGGGGATAGTAGGGATAGGAAAGGTAGCAGAATACATCAGTCACTAATATGCCATTATGTAAAAACGTGAGTGTGTAACCGATGTGATTCTGCAATTTGTATTTGGGGTAAAAATGGGAGTTCATAACCCAATTGAGTCAAATGTATGAAAGATGATATATCATGAGCTTTGTAATGTTTTGAACAACCAATAAAAAAAAAAAAAAAAGATCATGGCATTTGTAGGGAAATGGATGGCATTAGAGCAGATTACGCTAAGTGAAGTTAGCCAATCCCTAAAAAACAAATGCCGAATGTCTTCTCTGATATAAGGCGAGGTAACTCAAAATAGAGTAGAGAGGAAGAGCATGAGAAGAAGATTACCACTAAACAGAGGTGGGAGGGAATGGGAGGGAGAAGGGGAATTGCACGGAAGATGGAAGGAGACCCTCATCATTATACAAAATACATATATGATGGTGTGAGGAGGAAGAATAAAAGAGAGAGAAATGTGTCACAGTAGATTGGGTAGAGAGAGGTGATGGGAGGGGAGGGAAGGGGAGGGGGGTATCGAGGAAGGGCAACAGAATACAATAGACACTAGTATTGCTGTATGTATATATGTGGCTCTATAACCAATGTGATCCTGCAATCTGTATCACGTGGAAAAATGAGAATTCATACCCCATTTGAATCAAATGTACGATATGTCAAGATCATTGTATTGTCATGAACAACTAATAAAAAATGTACACAATTTAAAAAAAATTAAAAAAAATAAATACATGGTGTGATGACTTTAACAAATATATAAAGTAGTGGAACTACTACAATCAAGATAAAAAATGTCACAAGTAAACATTCTTTTGCCGCACTTACAGTTTAATTTTTCCTTCTGCAAAATGTCCTTTAAGTGGAATCATACAGAACGTATCCTATTGGGCTAGCCTCCTTACTTTTAGATTAATGCTTTTAGAATTCTGGATGTTATAATTATGTGTCAGTAGTTTGTTCTCTTTTATTATAGAATAGTCTCCATTCTATTGACTATATTGCTAATTGTTTATCCATTTACCAGTTGATAGAACTTTGGGGTTTTTCCTGTTTGGGGCTGTTATATATACATATACATTCTTTGTGTGGATATATGTTTTCATTTCTTTAGTGTATATACTTGAAATAGGATTGATTGTAGATTATGGAAATGTAAAACTTCATTTAAATTTATTTTTTAAAAAACCTGCTAAATTATTTTCTGGAGTATCTCTTTGCTGTCCTTTTTACCATGTATGAGACTAGAGTTCTAGATGCTCTTCATTGTCACCATCACTTTCTAGGGTCTACCTAATTTTTAATGTTAGTCTCTAATATGTACATGATATCTCACTGTTTTTTGTTTTTGTTTTGTTTAGTACTGGAGATTGAACCCAGGGTCTCACATATGCTAGGCAAGCACTCTACCACTTAGCTATACCCCGCAGCCCCACATTGTGGATTTAGCTTAAATAATGACTAAGAAGTTGAAAATATTTTCATGTGCTTGTTTACTATTCATACCTTTTCTTTAGTAAAAATGTTTTTCATTTTTTTGCGTATTTTTTAAAAATTGGGTTATCTTCTTCTTGAGATGTGAGTTTTTTAATATATCTTAGCTCAAAGTCCTTTATCAAGATATGTGGTTTGTATATTTTTTCCAAGTCGGTGACTTTTTATTTTGTTAACAGTGTCTTATAAAGAGCAATCTTTAATTTTGATCAAATCTATTTTATCATTTTTTTTTATTAAATACTTCATGTATTCTAGCCTAAGGAGCTACAAAGTTATTCTGCAGTATTTTTTTCTAGAATTCGTTGTTGTGTTTACTTTGTTTTGGTACTGGGAATTTAATCCAGTGGCACTTTGCCACTGACCTACATCCCCAGCCCTTTTTAAATTTTTCTTATTTTGAGACAGAATCTCACTAAGTTGCTGAGGCTGCCATTGAACTTGGGATCCTCCTACATCCTGAGCCACTGGGATTACTAGGTGTGCATTACCATACCTGGCTTCTTCTGGCATTTTTACTGTTTGGGGTTTTATATTTAAGTTTATGATCCATAACTCTTTGACTTTTTTTATTGAACTAGTTAAAATATGATGGCATTTGTTCAGGTGATTGTATTAAAGGCCTTAACATAGAGCAGTGTTTCTTAATTGAGTCAGTTTTGTCCCTGTTTCCAGAAGGGGACATTCAGAAATGTTGAGCACATTTTTGGTTGTCATAACTTGGATAGGGGGAGTGAGGTGCTACTGCCAACTAGCAAGTAGAGACCAGAGATGCTACTAAATATATAGGACAGCACCCATAACAAAATATAGCCTGAAATGTCAGTAGTGTAGAGGTTTAAAAACTGACCTGAAGTCCAAACTTATGTACAAAAAATTTTTTTAAATACTATTTATGGGCTTAGTTGTTGATTTGGAACAAGGAAGAGGAAAAACTGAGTTGGAGATTCCAAGTCTGCGTGACCAGGAGGTTTAGTAATCCTTGTGGAAACAAAGAGGAGGAGGAGGATTGGGCAAGTTTATGATAATTCAGTTTTTGAATGGAACACCTATGAAATGTGGGACTTAAACCCAAGAAAATGTTTCAGGACTAGAAATAAGTAGAAGGTACAAGATTGGATGAAATTGATGAGAGAAAAGAGGAGATAATAAGGTAGTTTAATGGTGAAAGATGCCTGTATTTAGAAGACCAGAGACTGATGAAGAGTAAGGTCAAGAGGGAAAGGGCCAGGAGAGCATAGTTCTTGCTATATGAGGACAGGATTTTAAATTGAGGGTGCTTGAAATACTATAGTGATGAGGAAGGAGTGCTAGGAAAGTTACTGAATTTGGAAGAAAGAATGTCTTAGTGATTTTATTTCCTCCCCCGAAAGAAATTTCTGAAGAGTATTATAGTAAGGGAAGGTAATTTGGGTGGTGGCAGGACCCAGATTTTAAGGGTTTGAGAGTAAAGAAGTACAGTGTCAAGTTTAGGTGACTCAAGAATTGTGATAGTGATGAAATAAAAAGGGGGAAAAGAGTATCTTTAGGGGAAACAGGGGTTTTTGAGGAAAGTTTGAGGGTCTGAGTTTTTAGGGCTGCCATAACAAATCAACACAAACTGAGTGTCTTAGAACAACAGAAATTTGGGCTGTGGCTGTGGCTCAGTGGTAGAGCACTTGCCTAGGATGTGTGAGGCACTGGGTTCGATTCTCAGCACTTCATATAAATAAATGAATAAAATAAAGGTTCATCAACATCTTAAAAAAATTTTAAAACCAGAAATTTGTTCTTTGACAGTTCTGGAGACCAGGGAGGGAAAAAAAACTAAATTAACAGGTCAGGGAGGATGAACTCTAGGGAAGAATCCATACCCCCTGCCTTTTTCCAGCTTCTGGCAATTGCTATCAATCCTTGGCTTGCAACTGTATCACACCAGTATCTGCCTCTGTCTTCACTTGGTTTTATTCCCTCTGTGTATCTCCATGTCGGAATTTTCCTATTTATAAAGACACCAGTCAATGGACTTAGGGCCCATTCTAATGAGTATGACCACATGAAGTACCATGTAGACATAAATTTTGAGGGGATGTTATTCAACCCAGCACTGAGGGGTTTATAAAACTCTCTAGAATGGTTAAAAAAAAAAAAAGTTTTGGTGAGGATATAGAGACATTAGAGTTGTATTTTATAATGGCACAGCCACTTTGGAAATAGTTTGGCATTTCCTCATAAGATTAAACATGGAGTTCTACACTAGGTATATACCCAAGAAAAGTGAAAATGTTGTCTCCACAAAAACTTGTACACAAATGTTCATAGTACTACTCATAATACCAAAACGTAGTAGGTTGTTTCTACAAACAACCTAAATGTCCATCAGTTGAAAAATAGATAAATGAATGTGGTCTATCCATACAGAGGGATATTAACCATAAAAAGAAATGTATTGATACACACTGTAGCATGAACTGTAAAAAGATTGTTAAATGAAAGAAACCAGCCACAAATAGCCACATATTTTATGATTCTATTAAATAGCTAAAATTTGGAGGAGCTGAGATTTGAACCCAAACAACCAGTTTTAAGATTGGAAGTGGCCTCTGTTCTTAACCACTAGGGTATTTTCATTGCCATAAAGTAGATTAAGATATTGAATAAAAGTTTCTCAAGATTTGTGTGAGGAGTACAAATCACAGTTGAAGTGTAAGCTTGAACCCTGTACGAGAGGCAGGTATGTGGAGGTGGGGAAAACATCTCTCTTAGGGAATAATAGAGATACTATACCTACAAATGACCTAAACATTGCTCTGTTTCTCCCTACCAGTATGAAGTGAAAGCTCCCGTTCCTTCTGCCTGTTTCAGGAATATTTGTAAGCAAATGGCCAAAATGCATGAAGCTATATTTGATCTTCTTCCAGAAGAACAAACACAGGTGAGTAGTAATGCCCTCAGACTGGGATGTTTTTCACGGTTTTTTTTGCACAGTTAAGCTTAATTCATATTCTGATATGATTTTTAACCTTTTTTTAGATTGTTAATTTGACCAATGGAACATTGATAAAATTTTCTAATTTCAAAGTGATAGGTGGCAGCTGCTAGGTGAGAGCTATAGCTTTACTATATGATCAGGAATCTGAAAAGCAGATTTTCCATTTGTCCATTTTAAGAGGTCCCAGATTCTACTTAAGTCACTCATTACATTATTACAAGTCTCTGAATATCAGAGTTGCCATTTATCAATGAATAATAAAATGCTACTGTGATTGTAATCTAAATTGAAAATGGAAAGAATTAATGATGGAGTTAATAAAATTAACATGTATAACTAAATCATTCTACTTTATCACGAATAATTGTATGGAGGAAAAATAGCAAAATAGGGATCTTTGACACTTCTCACCTGTGAAGTTATCGATGCTGTACTCCTGTTGCATTTTATCTGATAATAAAAGTATTATCACAGAGTTCATTTCACTCTTTAATGTCCTCCCTTATCTCTACACTCCTTGTTTCCCTCACCTAGAACTTCAAAGTTTCCAGCATTCCTTTCTTCCCAGTCTCCTTCCCTCTCCTTTAACTTTTTACCTTTATACCAGGTGGTCTCATTCAAGCCTAAATGATACAATGTTATAAATACAAGCCTATCTGTTGTATATCAAGTGAATTTAATTTCCACTGATAATTTTGATAGACAAGTTTGTTTATTTTGGTTTTTCTCTAATTGGTTGAGTGCATAGGAGTGGTATTTGGGAGTAGAGGGTTGTTTTCCTAATGTCTCTTGCCTACTATTTGTTCCCAATGATGGCCTCTCTCGGCCACCCGAGACTTCCACCCTGCATTATTTATTACCACTTCATTAACAACTTCATGACTATCATCCAGCTCCTTTGGAGCTCAGAGTACTGAGGGAGTGCCATAAGATATGAGTGCCCACTAGTTCTCTTTTTTCCTTCTGATTACTTCCTAGCTAACCCTTCCTTTTCATTCCATATGTAAGAATCACCATGTCTGACATTTTGACCTTTTGAATTTGCCATTTGAATTTTGAGAGAAAGACTTAGTACAGGTCGGGGAGCTGGGTATATATTTACTTCATATGTTTCTATTTTTGTCATAACTTAAAGGATTCTTTCATCAAAGCTGGGCAAAAGTTGCCACTTTAATACCAGTAATTATACAAAACTTCCACTGGTGGTTCTAAATATACACCTTTTTCCCATAGAAAATATTATTCTACTAAATCATTTCCATAGATCAGTTTTATACAGTTTTAGGCCATACCTTTCTCAAAGAAGTATTGGACCATTCATTAGGTCTGCATGCAGCAATAATGAAATACTTTGAAATGATTTTATTAGTTAGAAACATAAAGGTACTTTTGCCTCTATCATTCTATTTTTTAAAAAAATATTTATTTTTTAGTTGTAGTTGGGTCACAATACCTTTATTTTACTTATTTATTTATTTATTTTTACGTGGTGCTGAGGATCAAACCCAGAGCCTCACACACGCTAGGTGAGCGCTCTGCTGGTGAGCCACAACCTCAGCCCTTATCATTGTATTTTTTAAAATCAAGTTTACATATTATAAAACTTTTCACTACCTTTTGTTCTTTTTACCTGTTGTGCTTAATCCCACTTATATATGGCACAGGAGTTCTTCCAAAGTACAGAATGGCAATCTTATTGCTAAATGAGGTACTGTCAAGAAGGGGGAAAAAAGCAATTACTTATTTTTCAGAGGAGCATTTTAAAAGTTATGTCAAAACAAGGTTTGTGGGCTGGGAATATAGCCCAGTTGGTAAAGGGYTTGCCTCACATGCACAAAGCCCTGGGTTCAATCCCCAGCACCACAGGAAAAAAAAAAAAACAACAAGGTTTTGTTTTTTAATACTTTCTCCAAATAATAAATATTGATAACTCACATGTCTTCTATTTCAGGAGAACTATAAGAAAGCTTATTTTCTTTTCCAGATGTTATTTTTAAGAATTAATGCAAGTTATAAACTTCACTTGAAAAAGCAGTTATCTCACTTAAATGTGATAAATGATGGAGGACCTCAAAATGGGTATGATTTTTATATATTTTTACCACATATTCTCATATTGAATTGTTTCAGTGATTGGTTTTTATCTTTATGCTGTTCTCTCATACTGGGGACCAAAATTATAAAATCGGCAACATTTTGCCTTTTTCCTCTAAGAAGATGCTATCTTGTCTGTCTCTCTGTTAGTTCATGTTAAGTTCTTTACATGTTTTGAGGAGTTAGTGTGTCTTTAGATACCCAGTAGTCTTTCTTTTCCAAAAGGACTCAGTTCTACTCAGTAGCTCTGTGACTATGTGAAGGTCATTCAATTTCTGTGCCTCATTTGTAAAATGACAAGGATAAAATCTGCCTTAATTCTTTCAGAGTTATGAAAAATAATGTGTAGGTAGGACAGTATATTATAAACTATCAAGCAAATTTTATATATTACCTCTGAAATAGTGTATTTTAAAAAGAAAACAGGATTTAGAATCAGAAAACTTGGGTTAAATACTAGTTCTGCCACTTTTTAGCTGGATAGCTTTGGGTAAATTTATTCTCTGTGTGCCTTAATTTTTTAGATTTAAAATTAGAAATAATGATATTAGTATTAGGTGCTGTGCAGGGGAATGATATTGGCCAAATTATATTGTTATAGTGTATGCATATACAAATATGTAACAAGTCCCACCATTATGTATAATTATAATGCAACAATTTAAAAATGAGGGGAGGGAAAACCCGCTCAYTGGTGGGGGAGGACCTTTATGTGCTGTCTAAATATTATTCATTAACAGTTTTCTTCTGTAGCTGTGAAGGCCATTTATAAAGTGGCTGGTAGAGATTATATATATTTGGAATTATGAGTTACAGAATACTTATTTCCCTTTGAAGAATCTGGATTGTGAGTGGTTTAGGGAGACACTGTTTTCTTAGCAATTCATTCTATTAAATCATCATTATAGCTAAAATTACGAAAGGCTGGAATAGTAAGAGTTTTTATTTTAAATATATCCAGCTCACTTATATCTGTGATGCTTTTTTATGGGTCCCTTCAGTGTCAGTATAGGAACTGGAAAAGTGAGCTAACCATCTAGTTTTTCTTAGAATAAACTCTCCTTTGTGCCAGACCAAACCATGTACTCTGTGGGCATTATCTCAGACTAACCTTAGAAGACTATTGACTGTTATATTTTTAATCTATCATTCAACATTTTTTAAAATTTAAACCGTACTTACTCATAATATTGAGATTCATTTATATTTCATTTATTGTGCTCTGATTTCAAGACAAGAATACCTTAAGTAACTGAATCAACATGTGATTACTAATACTAACATTGAGACAAAGTTAAGCTGAATATCTCAAATGGAGAAGTATTTTATTCATTTTTCACAATAAGGAATCCCACACTGTATTGATAAGCTACTGACACAGTTACATTTTTATTTGCCATTTGTAAAGTTCAAAGATTTTTTTTCCATCAAATGAATTACACTTGCCATATCACCCATTTGTCCTAACACACTGATTGCCATACTAGGAAATAATTGTATGTAAAGATCCTTTGGGATTGAGGTATTTTATGGATGTGTAGGACATCTTTGCTTCACATACATTAATTTAAAAGTCTGCTATCTGGGCTGGTGTCATAGCTCAGTGATACAAGCACATGCCTATAATGTATGAAACCTTGGGTTGCTTCTTACCACACCACCCGCCAAATCTGTGTATTAAATTATTTTTTGTACTTATAATGCTCAGGAAGCTGCCCTTTCTTTCCTTTTACTATTTTAGTCCATACATATATACTCTAGTGACAACCAATCAAAAATAGTTATAAATTCATACTATTTTAAGATAAATCTGATTTTACTGGGTAGAGTGTATAATGAACCTGACTTCGACATGCATTTATTTACATTTTTCCCATTTATTTTTTTAAATAAAGCATTAAATGGTTAACTGTATGATAGCAGGAATCCTGGCAAGAGAAGAATGTTGCTATTTATCCCTAGGAATTCTGAATTTAAATAATATTGTAGCAGGTGGTATAGGAATCTGAGAGCCTTGCTCATTTATCTGGATAGAAAGAGTGAAATTTAAAATTTTTCTCTCCAATGTTTAGGTTGGTCACAGCAGATGTAGCTTTTTACACTGGAAATCTTCAAGCCTTAAAAGGTCTTAAAGATTTGGACCTAAATATGGCAGAGATCTGGGAACAGAAGAGGTGACAACTCACTGGAAAACTGGGTAGTTCAYCTAAACATGGGACATGTATGTTTCTGAAGAATATCTGAATGCCTGTGTTTCGAGAACCTGGAACCMAAAGTGAACTGAGGTGGGGGAAAGGGAAAAGGAAAGTATCAGTGTTGGGAAACTGGATTCAGTGGAATCTATAAGGAATGCCATTTTTGTGCATTCTTAAGTGAGGAGTAACTGATCAGGTGTCTATAACATTTTTCATTCTCTCTGGAAACAGACTCAGGTTTCTTTGGACCAAATCCAAAAGAACACATAGCTGTAACACAGCTGTAGTTGACTAGAATGCTCTGTATACTTTATATTAAAAAATGCTTTGCATTTCTTCCAGTGCAATGAAATTCATATGGTGTCCCACCTTATTTAATGATGGTACAATTTAAAATATTAAAATCTTAGTCAACCTCTGTAGAAAGTTTTCTCTATGAAAGTAAAGCTGTTTGAAAAATTATTTTTTTACAGATCTTTCTATAAAAAATAAACATCTTTTGATTGCTTGGATTTAGGAATTCAGTTTTTGTTTTAGTGACCAATGTCAAGTTTCAGGCTTTGTGTTACATATTTAATCTTTCTACTACCACCATTATGTCAACTGGGTAAGCCTTCTCAAAAGTCCGAATACATGAAAGAGTAATAATAAGATATTGGCATTTATGCAACTACTAGTTTAAATACTTTTCAGAAGTGGTATACAGAAGGCTACAGTTTAATAGCTGTATTTTTATAAAAGTATCTATGAAGGGTTTGGGTTTTTTCCCCCTAACAGGTAAGACTATGTATTCATGTAATATGCCTACTTATGAGTTCTCATTTTAACATTTAGGTAACATATGAAGTATGGTCCCCTTGGAGTCTTGTTTTTCAGTTACTTTCAATGTGTATATGAACAAAGACCAGGGAGAAATAGAAATTTTAAAATATGGGCTGCTGTTTGGGCGCCAGAAATACAAGGTATTAAAGACTTTTATGATACCTACCTTCAAAATTAAAAATTAGAATCAGCAGCACTCTACAAGTGAAAGTGCCTGTGCCTCACCTCACACTAAGACTCTTGCCTAACCCTGTCAGAGTGCCTAATCTTGTGATTATGTACAATGAAATAGTCTTATTTTGTGCTTTACAGTTTTTTCAAAAGGAAAGCTTGTTTTCTTTCCTTTATCATTACGAAGGTATGTCGTTGATTCTTACGCTGTCTGTCTAAAATAAAGGTGTAAAAAATTATGAGACTTTAAAAGACAACTTTTTTTTTTTTTTAAAGTACGGAAGAATTGGGAAGTATGACTTGATCTACCAGCAGACCTGATTTGTAAGGTTATTCTTGAAAATTTTTCAGTGATGTGAAGCTTTAAGAAAAGGGAACTTAACCCCACCCCATTTATCCCTCCATACTACAGTACAAGGACCTGAAAGAAATGTTCTACCTCTGCCCACTCCAACCATTTAGCTGGGGAAAGAAATACCACTTTTTTTCAGTAAATGGAGAGTCTGGAGTGCATGGCAGGCACCCTAGTCTTAGAACTATGAAAGGTTAAATATCTTCCATTTCCTTTGGAAATGGATTTTTCTTAGAAATGCAGAAAACTGGAATTAGTAGATAACTAGCTGGTGAGTACTTAAATATTCCAACCTATACAGTGTCTGTTCAGCAAGAACAAACCATTTTATTTTGCTGATTCATAAAATTAGCATTAAAAAGTTCAAGAATACATGTGTATGGCTTCACCGCTTTATTTTTGAAATCACAGGCAATTCAAAGTGACCATCACTGAGGCTTCTGTTAATAAAAATCTTCCAACAGAACTGCCCCAGTTTTAGGATTAAACAATATTGCACTTTAAGATGAACTTTCAGGATCCTCTTCAAAGAGGGAAAGTATTGCTCCATCTGTTTTTCTTAAACTAAAAGCATATTGCAGAAAACTCTAAAAATCAACACTGCAAGGTACAGTAACATAGTCAAGTACCTGCCTACTTTAGAATCCTAGAGACATTTCAATGTAAGAAACTATTTAGCCCATAATTTAGCCCATAATTAGTATAAAGTGTATACAGTATTCTTTTCAGTGGTCCAATATGCGAAGGTTTCCAGATACAATCTTGTTCTCTAATACTGCTCCAGGTGGGATGTCAATTCTGTCGCCATGATTTGCAATGATGATAACTGTTCCCTAACAGGGAAAACAAAGAGCTAAGAATATACTTGCAACTGCAACTGAAATGCAATTATCATACAACAACCATCAAGTTGATGTACAACTCCTTTTACAATGGAGTAACTGTAATGATAAACAATATTAAACATGAAAAGCAAGTAACATTAAGGAAAAATGTAATGTGTACATCCGTCACAGTCCTGACAGTAGTCCTGGATTCCCTGCCTCCTTGTCAGAGATGGTGCGAACAATGGGAAGTAGACCCAGTGCCATAGTATAACTACCCTTTCTGAAGGCCTCTTGCTTATAAAGTCACCAGCATTATCCAATACCCAAAAAGCAAGTAACAGATGCCAGGCCTAGTGGTGCACACCTATAATCCCAGCTACTTGGAAGACTGAGGCAGGAAAATTTCAAGTTTGAAACCACTGGGCAACTTAGCAAGACCCTGTCTCAAAACAAAATTTAAGAAAGGCTGGGGTTTGTAGCCGGGCATGGTGGTGCACACCTGTAATCCCAGTGGCTTAGGAGGCTGAGGCAGGATGACTGCAAGTTCAAAGCCAGCCTCAGCAACTTAGCAAGGCATTTAACAACTCAGCCAGATTCTGACTCTAAATGAAATATTTTAAAAGGGCTGGGAATGTGGCTCAGTGGTTAAACCTCCCTGGGTTCAATCCCTGGTACAAAAAAAAAAAAAGGAGGAGGAGAAGCAGCACTGGGGTTGTACCTCAGTGATAGAGCACTTGCCTTGCACATGCAAGGCCCTGGCTTTGATCTCCAGCACAGAAAAGAACTAAAGTAAAAGTTGCATGATTTATATTTTCATACACAGTTCTCTGTTGTTTCGGTTTTGGTACTGGGGATTGAATCCAGGGGTGCTCTACTTCTAAGCTACATCCTCAGCCCTATTTTAATTTTCATTCTGAAATAGGTCTGAGTTGCTTAGGTGCCCCCCTAAGTTGCTGAGGCTGGTCTTGAACTTGAAACAACCTCCTGACTCAGCCTCACAAGTCACCGGGATTACAGGCATGTGCCACTGTGTTCAGCTGGTTGTGTCTTTTTTAAGGAATAGTTGTACTGTTAAGTTTTCATTGTCTTGAGATTTTAAATAGTTAATATAAGCAATAAGTTCAGTATGTGTGTGTTGTTTTAACTCCCTAAGATCTCTTCATTTAAGCAAGTAACTTTAAGGGTAAGAACACATGAAAAAATAGAGATTTCTTTTTTTAAATAATAGGAAAAAACTTTTACATCTTCAATGGTAGCTTTTACCCATAAAGTCCCAAGTTTTCAATTCTGTGAATATTTCAATGAAATTGATACAGGTACATTAAAATGGGAAATCAATCTATAGCTTATGAATCATTATCAGTAATCATTAGCCTATTTTCTCAATAAAACTCTAAAAATATAAATATTTCAAAGTTACCACAGATGGTATGTTGCTCAAGTTTTTGTGGGTGTCCCATATAAGGGACAATAGGACATAATGGGTTAATACTTAATATTCCTTATTTCTTATACTAGGCTAGAATACTCAAAAGTACCTAAGTACTACAATAATGTAAACAAATATATTTATACTCATTTACATTACACCTAACATGTATAATCTTCAGATTCCTTTAAAAAGATTAGACTATTCAGCATAAATGAACTCACTTTTAAAAATGTTATTCGAATAGTCAACTTTAGAGAGCTAATGCTAGTATTGATCCTATTTTAAAATTTTGATAAAATAGAGCTGTTCACTACTAGTGTTTGCTTTCCATTTGAATGCTATATACCACAACATACTTATATAAAATTAGGTTTGTATTTTAACTAAATATATATCTGGTTATATTCCTACTAAATTCTGTAATAACCTATTTCATATCTGTGTCCACATATTTTAAAAGATTATCTTATAAATATATGGTTCAGTCTAAGAAGTACTCAAATAGAGGTAAATTTAGGACTAGAAAACAAAACCTACTTATAAAGCTATAGGAAATGTGATCTTCATCATTAACATACATACCTTTAATGAAACATTTTTGCCAAATGTCACATCCCCTGAAACTGTGAGATGATCCAATTCAAGCATATCTGGTATACTTTCAAATCTTCTTAGATAATCTTGAACCTTTAAGTAGAAACAAAAAAATATTTCAAATGGGTTCTCAGGAGAGCCAGGCATGGTGGAACACATCTGTAATCCCAGCAGCTCAGGGGCAGGAACATTGCAAGTTCAAAGCCAGTCTTAAGCAACTTAGCAGGGTCTTGAGAAACTCGCCAAGACTCTGTCTCTAAATAAAATATAAAAGAGCTGGGCATGTGACTCTGTGATTAAGTATCCCCAGGTTCAATCCCTAGTGCCAAAAAAGGCAGGAGGTTTTCACAGAAAAATAAATAATAAATAGTTTAACTGAACTATAAATCATTTTATGGCAAAACTTAAGTTTTCTATGAGAAGCACCTATTAAGATCCTATGCAAAAGAGTCCAGTAGATATGAACATTGTCCTTAAAAATCAAGCAATTATAATACAGTTGAGCCAATCAGATGTGTGGTTTTTTGTTTTGGGGAGGTTTTTGTTTGTTTTGTTTTTTAAGATAACCAAACCAGCCATCAGGCTAAAAGCCAGATAAGTAGTTCACATAGTCTGGACAGAGCTGGAAAAAGAATGCATGATCATGCTTTGCAGCAGTCTAGATCGGAACTGCTTTTATGGGATGGGCAGAATTCACACGAACAATAAGACAAATCACCATTATCCCTATCTTTGTCGGGCGGGGAGTGTTTACTGGGGAACTGAACCCAGGGCTGCTTTACCACTGTTCTACATCCCCAGCCGTTTTCCTTTTTTGAGACAGGGCCTTGCTAAGGTGCTAAGGCTAGCCTTGAACTTCCAATCTTCCTGTCTCAGCCTCTCCAGTTGTTGGAATTATAGGCTTGTGCCACTGTACCCAGCTCTTATCTTTGCCTTTTATTTGTTTGGATGTACAAGCACTAGAGATTGTTCTATGTGATCTCATTTCCTATTTTGCTGGGAAAATAGAAACAATTAGAAATTTCCTTTAGATTCAACCACCCACCATCCTGCCTCCTAGCCCATTACCCTTTTCTCCTAGTACTGGGATTGTTCTATTTCTACTGACTTAAAGCCAACCTCTCCACTGTGTATTAGGTTCCTTTATTGTTTCAGGGAGTCTCTCTACAATGTTTTTTCCCTCCTGGCTGCATTGGTTGCCATTAATGTATATGTAAATTCTCCCATTATTTATTTACATATGTGTACATGTGTGTTTATGTATTTATTTTTGCAATATTGGGGACTGAACCCAGAACCTTACACATGATAGGC